CCTAAATATACAAAGTAAATATTAAATGATCTATAACTTTTTTTAAGAATTATTTTATTTTAACTTTATTTATTTTAATTTGACCAGAGAGGGACAGAGTGAGAGAGAGGAAGAGGGAAAGTGAGAAAATAAGCCACCAGGTCTAGGACTCGAACCGCTTTCTGTCTCTCTGTCTCTCTCTGTCTTTCTGGCTTGGGCGGTGCCATGTCCCCTGTAGAAAAAACCTCCAAAAAAAAAAAAAAAAAAAAAAACTAGAAATGTTGAAATACATACACTTATGATTTGTAATTTAAAATACTAAGATACTTAACCTCATAGCACATCATATCATATTGCAGGTAGACAACCATGTTTATAGCACAATTCTTTAAAACGCTAGGTCAGGGACCAGCAGATGGCTTAATGGTTATGTCGCTGGACTCCCACATAGTTCACCGTGGTTCAAGTCCTGGACCTGGTGGTTTTAAACTCAAGCCAGACATGTGTGTATGCGTGCCCAAAATCCTGAGAGGAGAATGGAGGAGAAGGGACTGCAGTGTGGCCATCCCCCCAGTAGGGGTGATTTCTCACTTTCTGCCTCTCTGTTCCTCTGGCAAGTGCACGTGCCCTATAACAAAAATCTCTCTCTAAAATAAATAAATAAATAAATAATTTTAAGTGCTAGGTTAAAGCATTTGTGCATTTGTAACATAAAGAGATATTGGGGGAACCAGCAGTTAGCGTAATGGCTATGTCGCTGGATTCCCATGTAGTCGACGGTGGTTTGCATCCTGGACCCGGTGGCTTAAAAGTCACGTCGGGCGCTTGTGCCCCAGATCCTGAGAGGGGAATGGAGGAGAAGGGATTGCGGCATGACTATCCCCTCTGGGGGGTGATTTCTCGCTTTCTGTCTCTATGTCTCTCTCTCTCTCTCTGCCTGGCGAGCGCACGCGCCCTGTAGTGAAAACCTCTCCAAGAAAAAAAAAGAGAGATTGGTACACTGCCCTTGACCCTTTTACTGGTTACATAATGGAATAACCTTTCATGAATTTCTGCCAACAGTGAGTCATCAAACTTTTTGGTTTTTGCCACTTTGATAGACAAATGCATATTACAGAGTAGTTTTAATGGGAAGTATTCCTGAGTAAGCATGAATGGATACCTGAGAACCATCTATACATCTATTTCTGTGACGTTCTATTTATTTAATTTGCCTATGTTTTCATTAGGCTTATGTTCTTTCAATGTACTGATTTTTAGCTCTTTGTACATTAGGACCATTAAAATTAGCTTTGGCTGTGAAATGAATGCAAATATCTTCCCAGTTTTTTTTTTTTTAATTGGACTTTGCCAAGCAGATTTAAAACATTTGTTTTTGTGTGCCAATCTTTCATGGTTTCCATGTTTGGTGTTATAGGAAGGAAGGCTGCTTCCAGATTTTTGAAAACATACCCAACAAATAAGTTGTTTGGGTATTTCATTGTTTTCTCTTTTTTTTAATATTTAAATATTTGATCCACTTAGAGACATTCCGTTTATAAGGAGCATGGAACAGGCTATGAGACAGGCCTGATGGTATAGCTACATCTTCTTAAACCTTCCAGTGTCATTTTTTGAATAGCCCACCTTTCACTAATTTGAAAAGTCATCTTATTTAAAGCATTTACAGTGTCAAATATTTAACTCCAGATTACATGATGAAAAAGCTCTATTTATTGAAGTTTCCGAAGTCCACAATATTATTGACTCATCTATAAATGATGAGAGGCTAGTTTCTATACACCATCCTTTTTCTCCCTCCTCTAATGCTTGATAATTATATAATGTTTAGTTGTTCAACTGGTTACTTTTGCCACTTGAAATAATTTACTTACACCCCTATTGTTTGTTTCAACACTCTAATCTTTTGTTAAATTAAACAAGCAGGAAGCCATTGCCCTAAGGTTGTCTCTGTAGTTTGAGTGTCTATGAAACAAACTGCAGCCTAACTTAGTACATAAAGACACAAAAACTTAACTCAAGGCTTTCTTTTTTGTAACAGATATCTGGGTCTCAGTCAGTCACAAGCAGCCAGCTGATCAGACACGGTCCAAATAAAGCTACACCCTCTCTCTAACTAGTTGAGAATTTCTGTTCTTTACTTCCATAATCTGCTTATAAATACTTCTATGTTGCATGGTAGAGCCCTCTGAACCCTGCCAGCTCTAAGAATGAGTCTTAACTCAAGTAAATTCTGTTAAATTGAATTTGTCTAAAGTTTCTTTTAACTATAGATAACCCTTTATGCACTATGAAGATAATAGCAAATACAGGGTAAATATTTTCATTGCTCTTGTTCCCACTTTGTCTTATCCACAGCAGGACCCAACCTCGTAACAGTAATAGTGCATGCAAGCAGGATACAGAGATTCAGATCCATTTTCACAATTCTATCTTTAAAATAAATGTTAATGAGTCCACAGTGATTTAAATAAATGACTGAATAAATAATGTAGAAAAAAGACTGATTCTTCTTTCAAAAGAATGCTAATAAGTGTAGAAGAAATAAGGGAAATGCAAAATTACTATTATTAATACCACAGTAATCTGTGTGCAGGCAAAATCTACTGATTGATTATAAAATTGTTGGTCAGAGTTTAAGGAGCAAGAGAATGTTTGCATAACATTGAAATATCTCTTCCAAACACTTCTTAATTTTGATGCCAGCAGATGGCATGGCTGTTAAGGCACTGGACTCCCACATGATCGAACAGAGTTCAAGTCTCAGACCCAGAGACTTGAGAATCACATCTGGTGTGCGCACATGCATACCCAAAATCCCAAGAGAAGAATGAAGGAGAAGGGACTGTGACGTGGTCATCTCTCCTGGGGGGTGATTTCTTGCTTTCCATCTCTCTATCTCTCTTCAGCAAGAGAGCACTGACCCCACCCCAGGACAAATAACTAAAAAACAAAACAAAACAAAAGCGTTAATTACTGTAGTGACTTTAGTCCACAAATTCGTTCATATGTTTACCTCTAGGAGATGCACAGTCTCTCCAGCTCTTACCCTCACCCCTCTTGTGGGCTGCACTTAGTGACTCCCTTCCAAAGAACGGGGTATGAAAAGGAGGAAATGGTGATCTTACAGTAGAGAAATGTGCCATCGCTCTGCCTTGACTAAGTGATCAAGGTGAACATCCCTAGTGTGATGTCACGTCGATATCGTGTGCTACCTAACAAGAGGCGACATGAAGGGCACCGCACCTCTGGGCTTCCTTCCCCCAAACGCATGGCCCCAGGCGGATCCTGAGGAAACATCAGGCAAACCCAAATGGAGAGACATTCTCCAACGTGGCCGGTACACACTTTGCATCAGAGTCAAGGTCATGAAACACAAGAAAAGGCCCAGAAAGCTTACAGCGAGAAGGGGACTAAAGACAGATGATAATTAAATGCTGTGTGGTATCCTGAGTTGGATCCTAGGACAGACAAAGAACATTAGTGGAAAATGGGTAAAATCTACGTAAAATCTCTAATTCAGTTCATAGAAATGGTAATTCTTAGTTTCAATCATCAGGCCATGCTTATGAAAGATATTCACATTAGGGAAACTGAATGAGGAATATTGGGAAACTCTGTACTATCTTTACAATTCTTCTGTAAGTCAAAAATTGTTCCCCCCACCCTCTGAAGGTCAGCAGTTGGTGTGGTGGTTAAGGTGCTGGACTCTCACATGGCTGAAGGTGGTTCAAGTCCTAGACCTGGTGGTGCTCTTTGATAAGCATACATGACCTGTAGCAAACTTAAAAAAATAATAAATAAATAATTTTAAAAATTGTTCCCAAATAATTTTTTAAATACTTGATCATTTTACTTTTAAAATAAAATCTTACATTGCCATGCAGAATTAGCTCTTGGACACTTTCAAATTAATATTGTTGGAATAAAATGATAGTAGAATTGTTCATTGTCAGTGGTTGTTGGCCAATTCGTTTAATTTGCAAGTCAGTAAAGGTAAGACATTTCTCTCCATTTATATGTTCTATCCCATGTAGAGTTTTACATCTTCTCTTTGTATTCTGGTAACCTGAAGTCGTTTTCCTAATTAACCCCAATGGCAAGTGGAATCTTTTTTTTTTTAATTTTTAAAAATTTGTTTTAGGGAGATTGAGAAAGAAACAGAAGAGAGAGTGAGAAAGAACCTCCCCGGGGAATGGCCAAGCCTAGTCCCTTCTCCATTTTTCCTTTCTTTATGGACCAAAGGCACGAGGCACATGTGCCCAGCTGTTCCTTGAGCTGCTAGGACAAAGTTGGCTTTGTGGGATCCAACCACCTTAACCACCCTGCCACCCGCTGATGGGACAAAGAAGCTTTATTATTATTATTTTTCTGGTTATAACATTAGTAATGTTAAAAATAATTTCAATAAAATTAAGTGGAATTATTTTTTAAATTTGTGTCTTTGCATTCAATGGAAACTCAATATAAGGCCATGATAAACTTGCAAATGCAAACGGGGCAGATTATTCCCCTTTATCCCTACAATTCTCAGGAGGAAGGACAGCAGTTCTTCTTTCACTCATTCTAAATACACGCCTTGGTTGTCAAATATGTTCCAGGCTAATCTCTGAGAAAAGGAATACAAGAAAATGTATGGGAGGTTCTGTCTTGTCCCGTTCCTGAGAAGGCCACACAACTGCTAGTAATAAAGACTGACATTTACTGGGGTCCCTTCAGCCCTCACAGCAACAAGCAGGTGTCACCATTACGCATTCCGTACGTGGGAGGTTCAGAGAGGGCCAGTGGCTTGCCGAAGGCGCACAGCTAGGACAGAGGCACTGCCAGCTGAGCTCAGACCCGCCCGTTTGCCGCGACCCCGCTACCCCGGGCGCCCTCGGCTGTGCCCGCGACACTGCCGGATCCGCCGGGGCGTTTCTCTCCGCCGAGGCTGCGCAGCCGACGCCAGGGCTGTTGCGTTTGTCTCCGCCGAGGCTGCGCAGCCGACGCCAGGGCTGTTAGCGCGCGGGCCGGAAGCGGGGCGGTGCCTGCGATCCGGGGCGTGGAATTTGCGCCGGCCACCGCTACCCGGGCCTGCGTCCCTTCGCCTGCGCTGTCGCCTCCTGCCCGGGAGCTGCAGCATGGGGCCCCTGCCGCGCACCGTGGAGCTTTTCTACGATGTGCTGTCCCCCTACTCCTGGCTGGGCTTCGAGGTGACGCCGGGGCAGCCGCCTCCGTAGGGACTTGGAGGGCGAGGCAGAGGGAAGAGCGAGCGCGGGGCACGGGGACAGAGGGGTGCGGGGATTCCTGGCGGCAGGGCGGCTAAAGGTCACTGGGGATGAAGCAGGTACCGTCTAACCAAAGGTGTAAGGAAGCAGAGGGACAACAACGGCCATCGTTGGCGCCACCACCTCGCTGCCGCCGATGTCAGTGTCGGGGGTGGGTGCACAACAGGTGGCAAGTGCTCGCAGGACCAGAGAGCCTGCAGTGCAGTTTGCAGCATAGACGGACATTTGCCATCTCTAACCAAACCACAGAGAGGTCCTTGTGACTAAACCCTGCCCGAGCCTGACTCCTCTGGCTGATCAGCAGCCATGGAACTGCCCTGCCGGTTCTCTCCGCCATCTTCCACATGGGCCCTCGGTCTCACCTTTGCCCCACTAGGTCCTGTGCCGATACCAGAATATCTGGAACGTCAACCTACAGCTGCGACCGAGCCTCATCGCGGGGATCATGAAGGACAGTGGTAGGAAGGCGGCATTAGTTGGCAGGGAGGCTGGTTCCAGTGGCCCACAACTGGGTCTGCATTTGGCATGGGCTGCTAGTGATTACCCTCGACCCAACACCCGGGTAGGAGCCCCCCAAGCCTGGGATCCAATACATTTTCTCTCACCAGCCACCTGACCTTGCCCTGGCAGGAAACAAGCCGCCAGCCCTTCTTCCCCGCAAAGGACAGTACTTGACAAGGGACATAAAGCTCCTGGGACAGCATTTCCAGGTTCCCCTCCACATCCCCAAGGATTTCTTGACTGTGATTCTCGAAAAAGGTGAAGAGAGTGTGATGCAGGTGGGGCACGATCTCAGGGCACAGAAGTCTGCGATGGAAGGACAAGGCCCAGACTAGATGGAACAGTGCCCTGGGAAAGGTCATGGTCTGAGCTGGTGGCAGGAGGTGGTGGGGAGGTGAAAAGGAGGACGCTAGTACCTCCTGCGGAAAGCTCTGGGAGCAGGTGCGAGAACCCCCTGGCACCTCTGCCCCACAGGAAGCTTGTCTGCCATGCGATTCCTCACCGCCGTGAACTTGGAGCATCCAGAGCTGCTGCAGAAAGTGTCCAGGGAGCTGTGGATGCGCGTCTGGTCACGAGTAAGGCCCGGCTGTGGAAATCCACCAGGGGACCCTGGCTGGCTTTCTGACCCTGCCTGGGCACTGTCCCCCCATCTCAGCCCAGTGCCATGCCTGATGAGCGCCCTCTCTTCCAGGACGAGGACATCACCCAGCCCCAGAGCATCCTGGCAGTGAGTGTCCCTGCCCTACCCTGATCTCTCAGGGAGTCTGAGGATGTGGGTGATGGGGGAGAGGAGGACAGTCAGCTCCTTATTGCAGAGAAAAGGCCATAGTTTAGGGGGAAAGGATGTCTGCATTTGGAGGGACAAGTTACTGAAGAGTTGGAAGACGGATCTCGAAAGAGGAGCTCTTGTGAAAGGGGGAGTGCTGAACAGCACAGGGGCAGGGTGTGAGGGGAGAGTCCACTACGCCAGGGAAGTCTGTAGGGAGAGATGGTAAGTGTGGTGGTCAGACCTCCAGCGAGGGAGAACCAGAGTGAGTGTTCACACATCTCCAAAGACTGCAATACACGCCTCACCAGCACACTCAGAGGAAGGCCAGAGACTTTAAAAAACAAACAAACAAACAAACAAAAAAACAACTTTGAAAAGAGAACGAATGCCACAGTTGTTCAGTAGCCTGAATGAGAGTAAGTGAAGCAGCTCAACACACTGACCAACCAGCTCCGGGGAGGGCGGTGTATAAAGGAAGTTTTACTTTGGGACTAAATCAGGGAATTTTGAATATGTTTCTTCCAGTTTGCAAAAGGTAGTGAAGTATGTTCAAATTTAAAATTTTAAATATAAAATGACAAATTACACAGAAGTTTCAAATATATATAAAAAAGTCTTCTAGTGTCTAGCATCTTTATTCCTATAAAGTATATGTATTTGCTTTTTAAATTAATACTTAATAATTTTTCATGCTATCTTTAACTCTTTGAAAGTATAATTTTTCATCCCTACATAGCATTCTGTTCAGTGGACTAATTTGTATGTACTTGTCCACTTCCCTGTGGTTGGGTCTCTAGGTTACCCAACCAAAGACAGTGTCTCCCCAAGCTGGACCGCATGTCCCCCTCCTGATAGAGATCAGGTTGCAAAGGTTCTCAAACTTGGGTGTACATTAAAATCATCGGGAACTGCTGGGGATGACCTGTACATTAGGATCTTTAAAAGCTCCCCAGGAAATTTCAGGGTGCAGTCTGTTGAGAACCCCGATCCCAAACTATAACCACAAACCCAGAACAGCCGTCTTTATTCTTAATTTTGAAGCCAGGTAGCCTTTTCTGAAGTCTCCAGGGCATTTCATAGGAAATGAGAAGTACTCTGAGCTCTTGCCACCCAGTGTGAGTTTAAGCCCCTGGGTCTGGGACTTGAACCATGGCCGACTACATGGGAGTCCAACAACATAGCCATTATGCTAACTGCTGGTCCTTCTGCCCTTAGAACTTTCTAACTGTAGGCAAGTGATGTGAATAAAAAGGTCAGGCTAGCTGGTCCCTGGGATGCCCTCTGGTGTTAATTTCTGGTACTGTCTCTGCCGCCTGCATTTTCCACCTATCAAGATTTTGGAGAAAGGAAAGTTTCCCTTGGGAAGAATAGACCTCCCATTTGGAATAGATAAAGGCTTCGCCAGGAAAACTTGGGGGCAGAAAGTTTTCTCCGGAGATCACTGCACCCCATGAATGCAGGCATATTTGTTCCCGCCCGCACCCCCTTAGGCTGCGGAGAAGGCTGGTATGTCTGCAGAACAAGCCCGTGGACTTCTAGATACCATCTCCACACCCAAAGTGAAGAACCAGCTCAAGGAGACCACCGAGGCAGCCTGCAAATATGGGGTGAGCTCTTCATGTGTGTCCCCAGTCCCTATCCTGAAGCTAGAGACTGAGACTCTCCGAGTGTGGGTTTGCATATTCCCATCCCAGAGCTCCCTCCGGGACCTGAGTCTGCCCGGCTCTCCAGACAGCCCTCACCTTGTGTCTTCTTTTCCTTGGGCCCGGGGAACATCTGAGTTAGAAACAGAGAAGGCACTGGGGGCCCTGGAGCCTCTTAACAAACACCTTAGCAGACACCTTTCTGGCTGTTTTGCCCCTATGACCCCAGGATGTATTGCCTGGAAGCCTTTGCCCCAACCTAGTGACACCAGCCCCTTCACCTCTTCCCACCTGTGCTGTTTCCTCTAGGCTTTTGGGCTGCCCATCACTGTGGCACATGTGGATGGCCAGACCCACATGTTATTTGGCTCTGACAGGATGGAGCTGCTGGCACACCTGCTGGGTAAGTTCAAGGTTCTGCACGGAGGCGGAGGTGCTGCCTTTGACCCCAGCCTCACCCTTTGTATCAGTGACCAGAGGAGGGGTTCAGAACAAAAAAGAACTTGTGCCTGGCACTCCCAGCAAGGAAGCCTTACACAGACAGTGCTGTTGGGGATGAATGGGGAGGGACCGCCTTCACCACCCTCCACCTCCCGCCTAGAAGAGAAGAGGCCTCAGTCCCTTAAGGCCAGGCAGGGCTCTTCCTAGAACACCCTTCCAGCCCTGGGGGGCCAGCATCTGCTGCTGACACACCCCAGAACGGTATGTAGATGACTGTGATTTTCTTCATCCAGGGGAGAAGTGGATGGGCCCCGTGCCGCCAGCCCTGAATGCCAGGCTTTAACAGGACCTGGAAGTAAACTGTTGGTGTGAAAGGCTGGCCAACTGCTTAACCCAGCCACTGGAGGCACTAGGACATGGCAGTCTTCCTGATGGAGGTATCCTCTGTGGCCCTGGGGACTGCCTCACCCCAGAAGGATGCAAGCGGGGGCTACCGTACCCTGTGGGCTGCCCTTGCCTCTGCCTCAAAGTGCCTTTAGGATAGCCCCAGGTTCTGCTTCCACACAATAAACCTAACGCTATCAGGCAGAATGTGTGTCTGGTCTGTGTGTGCCCTGGTGACGGTGTATTCGTGCTCCTGTGCTCACATGCTGCCCATTCTTGGGAGGAAGAAGAGTCCTTTCCCACCCCCGGCTGCCCAGCCCACCTCAGCACAGCTTGTATAGAAGAAACAGGAACCAGCCCTTTCTCTTAGACACCTCCTTGCTCTCTCAGGGACAGAAAATCAAGCTTGATGAACTTTGCAACTTTATAACTACCTCTTTGGCATTTACTGTCTCTGACCAGCACTGGGGACTAAGCTGGGGCTAGGACCCGAGGCCCAGTGGGAGTGAACAATGCAAGGAGCCAGAAGATGGCTGAGCGTGGGCTAGATACTTACACTAGCTACAGGGCCCAGAACAACCTGGACAAGGTAGGGCAGGGAGCCAGGCCACTATGCCCCATGGCCCAGAGAAGTTGCTCGACCCTTCACAGCTGCTTCCCTCACCCACAGGGTGGACCCCAAAGAATCCTAAGGCCTCGGGTCACCTTCTGGTGGTGGATGGTGTTCCCATTCCCAGGTTATCTGTGCAAAGTCCCTGCTTCTGCCTGTGCCCACTCTTCAATCGTCAGAATCCCTTCTGTTTTCACAGAATTTTGACTTGAGAATACTCTTTATTTGGAAGCTGAAACGACACTCAGACACCCGTTGAGAAGCAAAGGCAGAACCTACCACAGCCCCGAGGGGCTGTCAGGGCCAAGGCCAGCTCCCCCTTTGCTCCCGGCTTCTCATATCCCGTTGTTCCCTTTATTCCCGTCTTTCAGTCTTCCCCTTTTCCATGATTCCTGCACCTCCCCAGGTTCGAACTCATCTTTTCCTGGCTTATCATGAAGTAATGCCAAAGTACACCTCCAAGTTAAGTACTCATTTTTTCAAAGGAGTTCTGTGACATCTACAGCTAATATTTAAAAAAAAAAAAACAAAAAGAAGGAAAACATCCAATCTTAAAACACATTAAGGGCAGTTTATAACATAACTTCTCATAGATGAAAGCTACCCAGAGTGCGGTGAGTGGAGACGCCGATGAACTAAGATACTCAGAATTATTTGCTGATATAAAAAACTGAACAATTTAAACATTTAACAGCAGGAAACTATGCCATAATAGTACTTCCAGGATGGAATGTTTCTTAGCTATTAATTATTGTATTTGGGGGTGGTCTGCTGGCTGTGGGTGGCACACTGGGTTGAGTCCCACGATGGTGCCCTGCTGTGTGGCTGCGAACTGCTCTGCCTAGAAGGGCATGTGGTCTCCTTTCACAGGCTCCTTCCGAAAGACCAAAACGTCTGATCCAGTGGCTGAAGGCTGTTCAGAGGGGTAACACCAAGTGTCCTTCCTCCACGGAGAACATTTCACCAAAGAACCCCAGAGTTGGAGGGTCAGCACTGTCTGCTCCAGCCCAGGCATGCCTGCCATCTCCCACCTGGCTGAGAAGAGGGGAGCTAGGGGCGTGGTTACACCAGGAGAAAGGGCACTAGCAAGGCGCAGGCAGTGAGGGGACAGGCACGCACCACAGCTGGGAAGGGAGCCACAGGTTGGGCGGCAGCCTCAGCTCCAGCCTGATGGCCAGCCTGGAGTCTGTAAATTGAACAAGGAGTTCAAGCCTGACACCAACGAGGTGGCCTTGGTCAACACCTAGAACGCAGGCATCATAGGAGCAAAGGAGGGCAAGAAGAATGGGCAGAGCTGTGCATGGCATCCTACTCCACTGCCAGGACAGAACAGTGACTGGAAAGTATGGAACTATACATGTAGTATGATCCCAATATGTCCTGACATTTTAAAATGTCGGGCTGGCCCTGTAGTGGTGGTCAAGCACTGTGCATAGGGAGTCGGATCCTGCATGGCCAACCGAGGCTCGGATCCTGTCTCTGGCACCTTGAAACGCATGCCTGGCACGTGTGTCTGTATGCCCAAGATCCCTAGAGGAGGGAGAAATAGAGAAAAAAACATTGCTACATGATCATGCCCCACTGGGGGTGCTTTCTCTCTCTTGGTCTCATGAGCACATTCACTCTCTGGAGGAAGGAAAAAAGGGGAAGGAAAGGAAAGGAAAAGAGAGGAAAGGAAGAAAGAAAGACGTAATTGTTCAGTCCAAATTTGGTAATTCCTTGACTCTGCCATGAGGAAACAGACACTCCTACAGTGTGTGAATTGTCCGTTTCTTTGGGAGGCTTTGAAAAACCACAGTGTACCCCATAGAGGTGTGTAACAATTAAATATGTAAAATTAAATTTTATTTTATTTATTTTATTTTTTAAGAGATTTTTGCCATAGGGTATGTGCACTCTCCATAGAGACAGAGACAGAAAGTGAGAAATCACCCCACAGCGGGGATGGCCACACCACAATCCCTTCTCCTCGACTCTCCTCTCAGGATTTTGGCCTGCATACACACATGCCCAGCATGAGTTTCAAGCCACCATGTCTGGGACTCAAACTGTGGTTGACTATGTGGGAGTCCAGTGATATAACTGTTATGCCATCTGTTGGTCCCTAAACTTTAACAAGTTTTCTTTGGGAGGCAATTTGGCAATATCTATCAAAACTTCATTTTTAGGATTTTTTCTTATTTATACATGTGAATAAAGACACATGTGGAAAAATTATTAATGCACAATCCTAAAAACAATCGAATGGTTACCAGTCGAAGCCATTAAACAAATGAGTAGTTCCATAAAATAGAATATAATTAAGTATATAAAATATAAATATGTTTAGATGTATAATAGCTGGAAAGAAATACTAAGATCTGCTTTAGAATTAAAACAATATCTGGAAAGGGATGAGAGAACTTCTCAAGTGATAGTAATGTTTTGAATCTTGATTCGAATTTAGGTCACATAAGTGAAAGCCATTATCAAAAATCATGGAATGGTCCATTGAAAATCTGTGTGTTTCATTGTAGACAAATTTTACTTCAAAAGGAAAAAACTTTAAATGAATATTGAACTCTAAACACTTACACCTGCTGAAATATTTATGTCCACAACTATGAGATTTATTGACGTGAAGGTGAAGGAATGACTAGACAGATATGCAATATAGCAAGTATAGTATAATGTTAACTGTAAACTCCAGGTGGTGGAGACATGGCTGTTCACTGTAAAACTCTCTTCTGTAAGTTTTCAGCACTTCAGTTCCAGCAGGTATCACGGAAGTTAAGACTGCTGGATCCCACCTGGCAAACTGAGTGGTTCGAGTCCCATATCTGGTGGCTTGAAAAAAATACCTGGGCCACATGTGCATGCATGTCCAAAATCCTGAGGGAAGAATGGAAGAGAAGGGATTGAGGCATGGCCATCCCCTTTGGGGGATAATTTCTCACTTTCCTGCTCTCTTTCTCTTCTCTCTCTCCCTGTTCTCTCTGGTAAGCGCATATGTCCTATAGCAAACAAACAAAAAGTTTTGAGTAATTCATGATGAAAGTGTATGTGTTGACTGTATATGTTGATAAGGTACAAACTCCAACATATATTGTTAGATGGAAAAAGTAAAACATAAATTAAAATATAAAGCATGTTCCCATGTGGATTAAGAAACGGAGCTAGCATTTATTGCTTTTCCATATTCATGTCCTCTGAGAAGGGCAGTATCCAGAAAAAGTTGGGAAACAGATTGCCTTTAGGGACAGGGCCTGAGTTTTGGGTGTATAAGATTTACTAGGGCCAGCAGGTGACACAGTGGCTAAGATGCTGAACTCTCAAGTGGCTGACTGTGATTTAAATCCCGGCCCCAGTGACTTGAAACTCACACTCATGTGTTTTTATGCATGTCCAAAATCCCAAGAGGCGAATGGAAGAGAAGGAATTGCAGCATGGTCATCCCCCTGGAGGGTGATTTCTTATTTTCTGTCTCTCTGGTGAGCACACACACCCTATATCAAAAGTCTTCCAATTAAAAAAAGATTCACTCTTGCAATCCTTTTTGACTGTTCCGTTTTATATTATAAGTATAGATTTTTTTAATTAGCCAACATAAATATATTTTAATCATCTGTGTCTTTGACTTTTACGTTTTTATAATTTTGGTGATATTCATGTTGGTACTGTCTCAGACACAGCCTTCAATCATCATTTAATTTTTTCATATGGGCATTTTATCTCTACCCACACTAGAAACCCCTGGACATCAGATGAAGTATACTGTTACCTTCCCAGGTGAATACCAAGAGGTGAGCCCGGGGCTACGTCCCATGCAGTTACACCCAAGGGCTGCACAGTGGAATCCAGTTCCAAGGACGGGGTGGTGCCCTCTGGTGGACTCCCACAGATGTGCCCGTTACATTCAACCCAGGACTCTGGCCTGGGCTGCAGCTCCCTAACTGGAGGAACAGAGTGGGAAGGGTGTGATAAACTGGACTTATTTCACCATGTTACACATTAGAAACTGAAGCTCAGAAAGGTCGCACAGCTAGGAAGTGGTGGAACTGAGCCTCGAATCTCTAAATTATATAAATTGTATGCACTGAACCATGACACTTCCTGCTCACTCATATTCAGGGGTATATTCATGTGGGACGGTGTTTCTACCCGGTGCTTTTTGTTGATACTGTTACTCAGCAACAATCATGATCAATTTCTCACATTCCAGTTTAGCTTTGTGGGGCTTCGGGCTGGATATCTGAGCCAGAGTAACTGCCGAACCCCGTTATTTACTCCGCTCTACCCTAGTGCACTTTGCACGATACGGAAGCTAGCGGATGAGGGTGATGGCATGTGTTTGTCCTTGCATGCTTGAGGAGTCTGGCTCATTGGACGCTTTCCTCTCAGAAATACAGCATTACTGACCTGCTTCGCATCAAACCGTCTGTCCACCTTCCTGCACATTTGGAGGGGCCGTGACTGGAAATTGCTTAAGAAGCAAACAGACTCTGCTGAACTGGTGTGAGTCTGGTTCTTGCTAAACAAATCATGTACTTTTTCTGAGCTGGTCTCTTAAAAAAATGAGAATGATAATCAAATTTACTCCATGTGGTTGCTATTAAGGATCAAACAAGATCATGTATGTGAGCCAAATCATTCCTTCTATGCAAAGATGTGTGTGTGTGTGTGTGTGTGTGTGTGTGTGTATCTATGACCATCACTGTTCTTTTAGAAGACGTCACCTGCATTGGGTTCTGTGACCAGTTAGTTAAAAGTGCTATCTTTGGGAGCCAACAGGTGGCATAGTGATTAAAGCACTGGACTCACACATGGCTGATGATGGTTCGGGTCCTGAACCCAGAGGCTTGAAACTCATGCCAGGCACGTTTGTGTGCCTTCCCAGAATTCCAGGAGGAGCATGGAGGAGAGGGGATTGTGGAGTGGCCCTCCCCCTGAGGGGCGATTTCTCTCTCTCTTTCTCTGGCAAGTGCATATACCCTATAGCAAAAATATCTCTCTTGGGATCAGAAGAAGGCCTAATGATTACATTGTTGAACTCCCACAGGGCCGACAGCTGCTCAAGTCCTGGACCCTGGTGCTTGAAACTCTCGCCAGGTACCTGTGTTTGCGTGCCCAAGATCCCAAGAGGAAAATGGAGGAGAAGGGATTGCTGTGTGGCCATCCGCCCAAGGGGTGATTTCTCGCTTTCTGTCTCTCTGTTTCTGTCTCTCTGGCGAGCACACATGCCCAATAGCAAAAATCTCTCTTAAGAAAAGGCTGAGCATTAGCCATCTGCTAGTCCCTCAGCCTTTTCTTAATATGCCAAACAATGTGGGCAAATAGGATCTAATTGCTCCCCAGGCAAGACCAGAGAGATGATCTCAGGATGTCCTAGGTGCTCTGCTAAATTACCACTGAGGCGACCAGAGCAATGTGTAGAGCACCGGGACGTGGCGGTTAAGAGCCAGGATTTGGGGCTCAGGCTGGAGGGGCCAAGTCTTGACCCCCACCCTTGATTAGCTACTCATTTTCATCAAGATTCTGACATCACCTACAAAGTGCACATCATCATAATAACTACCTGCTATTATGCATACTTTAAATTACTCAACTTGTGGAGTGCATTTAGAATGGTGAGCATTATGCACAAACATTCCACATGTGTTAGCTAGGACTGTAAAGCAGACCCAGATTCTGTGCTGAAAAGCACAGACACCCAAAGCCTTGGGGGCCGGACAGTGGCGCAGTGGTAAAATGCTACACTCTAATGCAGTCCCGTCTGGGAGGGTACCAGACCAGGTCTGCAAGCCAGGAGACCTCCCTGAGAAGACCAGGCCCTGCTTGCCCATGGTCCTGAGCTGGCTGAGGACTGGGAGTGGATCGCAGCATTGAGACCATTCTGGGGGTACTGTTTCTCTCTATGTATAATAAAATAAAGAAACTTAAAACACACAAACATACATAACATACGCACAAAAAGAAAAGAAAGAAATACAAGGAAAACACAAGGCAGATGGACAACATGTGGTTGGAGGCATCGCAGCCATGAGAAGCCTGTCAATTATCTTGACTTCCTCCTTGTCTCTACCTTGTTACCCCCCCACCCCAACTTCCCTTCACCATCATCCTCTGCGTGATGTGGAAACAGAGGGCAGAGAGAGGTGAACCTGTCTCTAGCAAGGCTTGCCAACAGCAGGCAAGGAGAAAGTGAAGCTATCATTGAATTAAGTGGTGCATTCTTATTTTGCTAAGGATGCTCTTTGAAGAAGGAAGGAAGAAAAAGGAAAGGAAATCAAAACAATTTGGCCATCATCTTCAGGGCAATAAAAACTTTGATATTGTTTGTCTCACTGAAACAACATTCCTGGGCCAGCAGGAAGAGTACTGGCTAAGGTGCTGAACTCACACATGGCTGACCACGGTTCAAAACCTAGAACCAGTGGCTTCAGAATCACTCCAGGTGCATATTGTGTGCTTGCTGGAAACCGTGAGAGGAGATTGAAGAAGGGATTGCAGGGGTGGGGTGATTTCTCACTTTCCCTCGCTTTGGTGAGCACATGCACCCTCTGGCAAAGATGAAAAAAAAAGAAAAAGAAAGAAAGGAAGAAAGGAAGGAAGGAGAAAAGAGAAGGGAAGGGAAGGAAAGGGAAGGGAAGGGAAGGGAAGGGAAGAGCAGGGCAGGATAGGGCAGGGCAGGGCAGGGCAGGGCAGGGCAAGGCAAGGCACAAAAAGACATTCCTTAGAATTCATCCTGAGGAAATAATCTCAAAAGAAGGAAAACTGTACACCTAAGACGGTAATCATATTTTTAAAACAGCTAATGATTAAGATATAATTCACTCTTTTGAAACATCAGTAGGATTTTTTTTAGAATATGTAAAGAGTTATGCAAACATCACTGCTATTCAATTTTAGAATATTTCATCACTTCAAAAAGAAACCCATTAGTAGTTCCCACTTCTCTCCCCATCCCTGCCCTTAGCAACCTCTATTCTACACATTCTCTGTCTCCTGTTTCATTATTTCAATGACAAAGGCAATAAAAGAAGCTTAATGATTCAGTAACATAAGGATATATTAATCAAATCACAGCATATACGTTTAATAACATGTGTGGCTGTTAGAAATCACTGTAACAAAGACGGCATAAGCAGATGAAATAAAAGTTGTTTGATTTTTAAATTTTGTTTTAAGACACAAAGTGGTGAATAAACTCTGATCTCCTCCAAAGCTTATTCTGGTTTGTATGCCAATGGCCTGGAAGGATTATGTAAAACTTGAAATGACTGTGTTAATACAGTAGGCCATTTTTTCCTTTAGATTTTAAATGTCTCATAACTAACAAATGTGTATTTTAGAAAATTGATTTGAAATTGGAAAAGAGGATCTATTAAAGGGCAGAGCCACCTAGAAATCCAACCTCTGGTTTGGACTCAGTTTTGGTCTCAACCAACAAATCTCAATTGTACCCTTGGAGGTCCCAGACCACACAAGCCCTCCCTCTGTGGACATTCAGGCCACTCCCCGGAGCCCCTTGTCTCTGATCCTGCATCTCCTGCACCCCAGATCTCGATCTCCCTGCTTAACAAAGCCCCCTTACTTTTTCTGCACACAACCACCCTTGACCAGCCAATTTTCTTCTCTTCATACGTTAACTGTAGATTGAAATCCCCATTCCGGGATAATTGAGCCATATTTTTCCCATAGGGGTTGAACAGTAAAGAAACTGGTGGAAACCCCAGCTTTCCTGTTCCCATTTCACATGGAGATGTGCCTCCCTAGACCATCACACTTTCCATCTATGCCTCCTCCTCTCCACTCTCAGTCTGGGGCAGGGGATCTTCAGCAGCCCACCACTACCTGCGTTTGTATATGACTACAGACACGTTCATTCTCATTCTCTCTCACACACACTTACCACACGCTCTGCTGCAGTAGCCTTAGCTAGGCCCTGGGACTGTCCCAGGGCAGCATGGATTCGATTTGTGCCCTACTGTTCACAGCTCCCATTAGTCTGTCCACTGGCAATGCTCTGAAGGGACAGAGAAACAATCTTGTCCGACCTCTAGCTGAGAACAACATACGCCTCCCCCCGCAATCCCCCAGCACCTACTTCACTCAGGCTTCACAGCCTGACTCACATCTCACGGGGAATGACAAGGCCAGGTGAGTGTAGCCTTCTAGTGGAAGCATTCACTCGATTCAGAGTGAGCACCTGCCACATGTCGGGAACCATGTTAATTTCTGGGATTCAAGGATGATTGAAACTAATCGCTCATCCAGAGATGCTTTCACAATGGAAGATGCTGTGTCCCACTCGGCGAAACGCGTGGTCTCAGCCACTCCCTACAGAAGGAAACCAGGTAAGAGGAAAATGACCATATAAGCAGGTAAAGGCTGGGACCGAGGAAGGGAGGGATGCTGTGGACACACTGTGCAGCAGGCAGCACCTGTGCGGTGGATTTTGAAGAACTGAGAGTAAACCAGGCCAAGAAGCATACACATAGCGCCTCTTACAGGCCAGCAGAACGCAGGGAGGCCACAGGAACCGTGTGTGGGCAGCAGCGGCAAGCCCCGGCGTCTCATGCCCACTCGCTTACTGTGTGCGAAGGCCTGCGGGATCTAGACACGGATCTACTCCCAGTCACTCGGAAGTGGCAGGCACAAAATGAATGACCCAAAGAGAAGGCAAACTGCTCAGGGCTGTAATTAACACACAGTGTGCATTGAGGAGGACCAGGCGAGTTTCTAACTCTGGTCCCAAGTACAAAGATCACGGGGAAGGGAGGACTCGCATTCAGGCACTAAATTCCCTACAATGGGTGGGGTGAGTAAAATCCAGGAAAAAAATCTAGGTTGGGAGGAACAGGTCAGCCTTGGGAAGAAAGGCGACAGGGGGAGGAGGAAGACTGGGCTGGAGCTGAGGCACTGGGGCAGAAAAGAGGGCGGGGCCATGGGCTGCACCTCCCCTTCCTCCCACCCGCACCACCTACTCGCTGCAGTCCTTGGAGACAGGTGAGCAAGCAGGAAACTCTTGAGACGTGGTCGGAGAGGGGTGTAGGGTCACGGGGCTGGCTGGGGTGTGAGCAGCGTCTGTGACTCCTTGCTATGCAGAGTCCAGGCGCTCCTGGCAGGCTGCTTTTGGGGTCTGGGCTGCCTCAGGTTGTTGCTGTTTCAGAAGAAAGAGAAAAGGCTTCCCTTGTGCACTGGCCTCCCAGCCCCTGTGACGACTCCTGGCAGAAAACTTGAAATCTGAGTTTAGCAAGCTAGAATCAGCAGGGGTGGGGGATCCTGGCAGATGTGGGGTGTAGAAGAGGAGGGGAGATAATGGGGCCTCTGGCCATTGCTCCAGGGCTTTGTAAGACTCTTTCTCATGTAATTGTGTTCCTGTGACTTGTGTCTATTTGCTGTTCTCTCTCCAACGGGGCATGGGCTGGCTGTGGAAGACATGGAAGCCGGGTAAGTGTGCTCTCTCCTCCTCACCCCAACAGTGGGCCTCTGGCTAGGGAGGTGGGGAGCGAAGGTCCAGGAGAGGCAATAATGTAATAGAGAAGGACAGGGTCTGCCCCACCACCTGGATTCCAGAGATGCCTACATGCACAGGGTGTGCCTAGGACTAGATCCTGGATGGTGAAGAAGGAAGAGCTGGAAGGAAGACTGCAGGGAAGAAGGCAGGCAGGCAGGGCTGGGAGTCAGAATCCCTGGGCTGGTTTCCTGGCTACTGTGCACACTAATAACTAGACAGAATTATGGAGCTGGGGGGATCCTGGGACCACTTACTTGACTGGAGATTGAAGAACCTGGAACCCAAAGGTGCATGATAAGGTCACTCTGGTATCCGATCCAGCCATGATGACAACCGTTTAGACACAACAGCTGTGTGTCTCTTTGCAGGAGCCTGGGGAGGGCCATGGTGCCAAGCCAGTTGTGGGGGAGACTAAAGAAGCCATTTCTCTTCCTGTGCTGCGCCTCCCTCCTCCTGGGGCTGGCTTTGCTAGGCGTGCGGCCGGACATCGCCCCTGTTGCTTATTTCTTTCTCACCTTGAGTGGCTTCTTCTTGTTTGCCTGTTTCCTGGCCTGCTTTCTGGAATGGGGGCTCCGATCAATGCAGACTGAGATCCCGGAGCCCTCAGGCAATGCGCGGTGAGTTTATGGAGAAGGCAGAGAGAATATATCTTGGGCCCACTCTCTTATCCTAGTGTCCCAGGCATAGAGTCTCTGCTGTCCTCTGTCACTGGCACCAGTGGGGTGATGGGGAGAGGGTCAGGGGTGAGTGGCTAGTGAAGCGTCTGTTGCTAGTAGCTGGTAAGAAAGGGAAATAGGGCTCCTTTTAGAAAATCACCAATGACCTTATTCTACTCACTTAGGGACAACGAAGCCTTTGAAGTGCCAACCTATGACAACGCGGTGGTCGTGTTGGAGCCACAGTTATACCCACAAGCGCTGGACCAACCACCTCCCTACAGCAGTGTTGCAATCTCTCCAGGACCTGACGAAGGCCAGCCTAGCCAAGCAGAGGGGCCCAGGAGAGTGGGCTCAGAGGGGTCTATGACCCAGGGAGGAAGCCCTGGGAGAGCTCCAGTTAGCCTTCGGCTCCGGGCACCACGGGCTGTGTCCACTGCACCTGAGCTGCAGAGTTTGGGGGCCCCTTCCAAATTGGAGCCTCTTACTCCACCCCCTGCCTATGATGTCTACTTTGGCCAGCCTAACGATGATGACGTTTTTGGTGAAAACAACTGGACACCCCCCTAAACGGCTGTCCCAGGATTTATCATATGTCCACACCAGACCATGCATTCATTTGACCAGGATTGCCCAGTCCCTACTGTGTGTCAAGAACTGTGTTTCTGCCTGGACATTATAATTGGGGACTTGAACCTAGACAGAAGGCAGGCCCTGGTAAGCCATTCCCAGTTGAGATGTGGGTGGCACAGTTTGAATCTTTTTGGAAAGTATTCAGAGATCCAGTATTTCTAGAGTTAGCTTGAGGGTGAGTGGGGATCTGATCCAGAGAAGCTGGAAGAGCAAGAAAAGAAGTAACTCAGAACAGCTGCTTCTGTTCCACATGCTTTGCCCGTTAGTTCCCTTAGGCTCCTCAGCCTTGTGGGGTTTTAGTACCTTCAGTGGAAAATGAGGATTCTAAGCATCAGAGGAGTTTGATAACTTGCACAAGGGCACACTGCTAGTAAATAGCATAAAAACAACTTGAATGAACTCCTGATTTCAAAGCCTACTGTTTTCGATACAAGGTAACAAAAAACCAGGACCCCCTCAATCCCTGTGTTGGGACAACTGCTGGCCAGGAGTGAAGTCATATACACAGAATGGAGGACCAGACAGGTAGGGCCTGACAGACAGGCAGGGCCCAACGTGACCAGGAGTGCCCCTAGCCGCCTCGAGGAGCAAAGCTAATCAGAGCCCTGGCAGTCCATGCTGTGTGTGGACAGCAGTTACCGTGTTTCTCCCCTGCCCAGGGGAGACAGAGGGTGTCCATCCCATCTGAAAGCAGTGGAGTTAACTGTCCCGGGGAGAAGGACTTTGAGTTTTGACAATGGGTGTATATGACCATCAGAAAGTATAAAACATAAGTTTCTCAGGGAAGGGGAAGGTGCAGTATCTAAGAGATTCCCTCTTGAATCATTGATTACGAAGCCCTGGGGCCATCTGAAGTGTCTCTAATTGCTTCAGCCTGCCCTGTGCCCTCCTCGCGAGGATTTCACGCCAGCGCCCTGACCTGAGTCCTCAGATAGCAAAACTTGAAACCAGATTTTCCGGAATTAGGTGCTGCGCCTGTGGTATAGGTTTTGGCCACTGAGAGAGGTTAAAGCATCGCCGAGCCCTGCACTCCCCACGCAAGCCTTCGTCCATTACGCTTACATTTGTCTAGCCTCTTACTGCTCCCGATTTTCTTCGCACCACCGCCCCAGAAGTTCAATTTCAATGAAGCAAATAGACAGGCCAACCCAGTCTCTGACGGTTATTGCACCAGGGAGTGGGAGGTGCCAAGGGTGGGGGCAGTGATTTCCGCGGGAATCGACAGCCAATAGGATTCCTAGGGCAGGCGGGACGGTCCCCCTCACTCTTTCTCCGCCACTTCCTTTTCCGCCGAGCCCCTTCTCTCCCATTGGACAACGAGACCAGCACAAGAGCGCTGCGCCTGCGCCTGCGCCCGCACGGGTGGGGGCGGGGCCTGTCTGGCGTGCGGGGGGGCAGCTGGGGAGCCGCAGGGCGCGTGCGCGGCGGGCCTCTCAAAGCCCGGGAAAAGCGGGAAATGGCGGTTCGGAGCGCGGGTTCTCGGCCAATCTTGAAGCAGAAGGGGTTAATGGCCGCTGACAGGGGGCGCAGGTGAGTGGGGAAGGGTCCTAGAGGTCCCGAGGTGCCGAAGTAGGGCAGCGCGGGACCCAGGCGTGCGGCCCTGCGGCCCCCTCTTCTCAACCCCTGGAAGCCGCGGTGCCAGCGCTTTCTGCTGGGGTGGGAGGCCTGGCCGAGTCCTCCTTGCGACTCCCAGCCTAACCGCGCATGGTCGCGCCGGCAAGCTGCACCTCGGCCAGCCCCTCGGGGGCAAAGACTGCCCCAGCCTCCCTTCGTCCTGCTTGCGGGGGGCGGGTCTCCGAGTAAAGGGGAGTTCTTTCCAGGCTTGCTGGAACTTGGCTTGCGCTTCTCTGAAAGATTTTCCATCCTTTTCCCTGGTTCCCGCGTGAGGCACTACAATACATTCCCGTAAAAAAAAAAAAAAAGCTCAGACTTACAGACTTCGGTGTAAGGCCTGATGCGCATTTGATTCGGGTTATTTCACAGTCGGCATTGCTTTCCGTCTGATGGCCAGCATTTCAGAGAAAGCAGCACAGGCTCTGCGTTTTTAGTACGCTGGGAGAACAAAGAGTTTCCTGTGGCTCTGAATGTCTCTGCCTCGGTCGTTCACTTCGTAACACATGACCCAAGAGAATGTATTTTAATGCCTCCTGGTCTAGACCCAGAAGATAATATGGGACATCTGAAAGGAACCGTCAGAAGGACGCAGAATAAAGACTTTGGAACTTGTTCGCGTCCAGTTTTTTCTGCAGTTCCCTCACGTTCTAGGTGTCTCCTAAAATTCTAGGTGATTGAAAACTGGCGGAAAGTTCACTTTTAAGAATCTCACAGTAGGATGAAATAGAGGAAGGGGCAGATGGAAAGCAAATGGATGATGCTTTAAGTCAAAACTAATGATTGGAAATTCACAGCTGAAAGTTAAGAACTGGGCATCAGTGAGTTGTGAGTATCCATGAGATTGCTTGGAGAGAGGTTCTGATGGGGGTCCTAATGCTTTACCAACATTGGAGGGCTGGGCAAGGTCGTCTTAGAGGAAAGAGGAACTCTGTTGGCCTAGAGAGAACCGAAAAGAATGGTGTTCTGGAAACCAGAAGAGAATGTTTTGAGGAGAGCGTACTGCTGGTTAAGTAAAGGAGGATGTCTGCTCCACCATTGGTTATGTACCCAAAGGAAGTAACCAGCTGCTGTGTAACCTTATTATTTCCTGAGTTCATATGTGTCACCACTGTTATGGTCTGGTGTGTTTTATGGTGATTCTTTTTTTTTTTTTTTTTGAGAGTTTTTATCTGTTGTTTATTTTTGCTATAGGGCGCATGCGCTCACCAGATAGAGATTTTATGGTGATTCTTAAAAGGGGTTTTTAATTTGTGTAGATTTAATTGTTGTAGCAAGTTTTTACAGAAAATTTGGGGGTATCAGGAATATTAACATTAGAACACAAAATAGTTAAAATGGAATTTCAAATGTCACTGTTACAAATCCAAAACTTGTTAGCCATTTCCAAACCTGGGATTTTCTTTTCTTTTCTTTTTTTTTTTGGGCCATAGGGCATGTGTGCTGACTGGAGAGGGACAAAGTGAGAAATATCACCCCTCCTCAGTCCCATCTCCTCCACTGTTTTCTCCAGACTTAGGACATGTACTCACACGTGCCTGGTGTTTTTTGTTTTAAGAATTATTTATTTCTATTTGCTATCATCATTTTTCAGTTTGACAAGATAGGGAAAGCGAGAAAGCAAGATGTCAGGTGCAGGACTCAAACCACAGTGGGCTATATAGGAATCCAGCACCCTTAGCCACCATGCCACCTGCTGGCCCTAGCCTGGTGTGTTTTTTAAACCACTGCCTGGTCTGGGATCCAGCCATGTGGAATCCAGTGCCTCAACTGTTAACACCACTTGCTGGCCCAGCCTGGGAATATTTTAGGGAACACATCTCTGGTTCTGTGAATCCACTTAGTGTTTCATTGAGTCTTTCAGTTACTCCAAGACTTTGCTTTTCCATCTAACTGTAAGTCTATAACCCAAATACATCTCTGAGCAAAGAATAGTCCTGTAGATGCACAGTATTTCGCTGATGGAGAATGAGTGTCTCCCTCCCCTGACACACAGTTTTAACATCTTTGAAATCTGAATGCATGCTTTGGTAGCTTTTAAGTTATAAACTTGAAGCTTTATCATATCCCTTGCTCACTGTCATATGACTCCTGTCATATATTTAGAAACTAGCGAAGTAAGCTACAGAGCTCTGGATTTAATGAATTAGGCACATATATTGGAAATAGGATTCCTTTAGTTCGTAAGCAGATGTTGATCTCTTCCCAAACCAAAGCTAAGGAATCATTGAAATAAAGTCATCTGTAGTAAACTAAATTATCAAAATAACTTATAATCAGAGTTAAAGCTAGTAAAGGCTAAATTATGTCAGTTATGTTCATCTTTGGTAATTATCTGCTGTTCCCTCTTATAGTACTTTCTAAGGATACTTTGCTGCATCTTAGAGGATTCTGGTCATTTCTGGTGTCAGTTTGTTACAGGAACCAAAACCCAAGATCATTTTAAACTTATGTTGCTTTCAGTAGCCTAGATAAATAATGTGAGAAGTTTTCTGAAATAATTTTCTTAATGAAAATAGGTCTGGCCCAGCCACCATGTAACAGTGATAATGCAGTGCCCTGCAAGGCTGAAAGCCACGTGGCCAATCATGGGTTCAAATCCACTGGTTGGCCTAAGAACATGAGTGTGCCTAGGTTCCTCAGGAGCTGGAGGGCTGGGGAGAGAAGATCATGGCATGATGAGGTCCTCTCAAGGGTGATTGTCTCAGGTGTGCAAATTCTACCATCATAACAATAATCACAAAATGGTCCTGGACTGGCCCTTTAGTACATTGGTTAGAAGCTATGCAGAGAAAGCTGGGTCCCACATGACCAACCAGTGTTGGAGTCCCAGCCTAGGCCAGGAACACACAGTCATGCCTAGGATCTCGAGAGGGTAGAGAATTAGAGGAAAAGGATTGTAGCATGACCAGGCAATTTCAAGAGGTGCTTTTCTATTTCTCTCTTACTCATGCATGTACCCTCTGGCATTTAAAAAAAAAAAAAAAAAAGTCTGTGAGAGGACTATTCCTTCTTGTAAATGTATGTGTGCTTGGGACCAGCAGTCAGTGTAATGTCTATGTTACGGGACTCCCATGTAGTCGACCACAGTTGGGAGTCCCGGACCCGGTGGCTTAAACTCATGCTGGGCGCATGTGTGTGCGTGCCCAAGAGAATAGAGAAGAAGGGATTGCAGTGTGGCCATCCCCTTTGGGGGGTGATTTCTCACTTTCTGTCTCTCTGCCTGTCTCTGTCTTTCTAGTGAGTGCACACACCCTATAGCAAAAACCTCTCCAAAAAAAAAAAGTGTGTGTGTGTGTGTGTGTGTGTGCACGCACGCTTGTGTGGTGTATTTATATTTTTTTATGATTAGTGTGTTAATGCTTAATACACCTTTGATTTTACTCAGATTCAGTAAAATGTACCTGAAGTTGGTTATTGCATATTTTAAAATTTGTATTTATTTTGTACTTTAATTGCCAGAGTGCAGATATGCTCACCAAAGAGAAAATAAAAAACATGCTGCATTGGAGGGGTGATCACATCAGAATCTTTTTTCCTCCAATCCTCCTCCTCCTCAGGATTTTGAGCATGCATACACATGCACCTGGCATGTTTTTCAAGCTATTAGGGCTAGGATTTGAACTGCAGTTGGCCAGTTAGGATCTGGTTTGCTATGCACAGTACTTAACCACTGTGGTATAGGGCTGGCCCTAATCTTGGTTATTGTAAGCCCCATTCTTAATTTTCCTACCCACACATCTACCTAAATCTTGTCCTTGACAATCTTTCCCTTCATTCTTTAACTATAGGATATTAGGAGTGTGTGGCATGCATCCTGACCATCAGGAAACTCTGAAAAAGAACCGAGTGGTGCTGGCCAAACAGCTGTTGCCGAGTGAACTGTTGGAACATCTCCTGGAGAAGGACATCATCACTTTGGAAATGAGAGAGCTCATCCAGGTATCTGGAGATGAAGGAGAGAAGCCAAGAAGATAATTGGTCTTACAGATAGGAACAAAGCATAATAAAATGTGGAAAGGAGGTGGTGCCTTTCAAAGGAAGGGGTAATGCCCTTCCACCGGGACATTGAAGAGGAAAGATGTATGATTCATGATCAATGGGAAGAACTTTACCTGCATGTACTCTTTTTTGTAAAAGTAATACTTGAGATGGATGAGGATACACTGGGAAGTTTGCAGGACAAATAGAATTGTAGCTATATAGGTAAAAGATTTCTTGTTTTATTCTTATATCTTAGGCCAAAGTGGGCAGTTTCAGCCAGAATGTGGAACTCCTCAACTTGCTGCCCAAGAGGGGTCCTCAGGCTTTTGATGCCTTCTGTGAGGCCCTGAGGGAGACCAAGCAGGGCCACCTGGAGGATCTGCTGCTTACCACTCTCTCTGATCTTCAGCATGCACTTCCACCGGTATGGAACCCTGGCAGCCTGTGCTAGGAAGGGCTAATTTGGCTGAAAAGGAATTTTTGAGACAGGGTAGGGGGTTTTATTTTGTTTGAACTAGACTGTCTTGCTAAGGTCTGATATTTTACAGTTGAGCTGTGACTATGACTTGAATCTTCCATATCCGGTGTGTGAGTCCTGTCCTCCTCACAAACAGCTCCGCCTGTCAGCAGGTAAGAATTAGTGGGATAAAGGGTCCCACAGATAGACTTTCTTTGTGTGACTGGTAGTCCCACAGATAGACTTTCTTTGTTCGGTAGCTGGGCTTATCCTGCATGAGACCTATTTCTGACTGAGAGCAGTCACCTCAGTGAATTTGCTAGGGACTGGCAGGGCAGTTTAGATGAGGTGTCAGTTGGGCCCCTTTCCTTTCCATCACAAATAATATCCTTTATGGTAATTGGCCCTTTGAGCAATATATACAGGAGGGAAATTCTACATGGTTGACCTGTCTATAATGCTGAATGAGAAGTTTTTCCATCCGCCATCTATGGTGGGACTGCCACCAAGATGCAGATTTTCGTTAAAACCCTTAAGGGGAAGACTATTGCCCTCAAGGTTGAACCATTGAATACAATACAAAATGTAAGAGCCAAAATCTAGGCTAAGGAAGGAATTCCTCCTGATCAGTTACGACTGATTTTTGCTGGCAAGCAGTTGGAAGATAGGTGTACTTTGTCTGACTACAGCATTCAAAAGGAGTCCACGATTCATCTCATGTTGAGACTTCGTGGTGGTGCTAAGAAAAGAAAGGTTTTATACCACTCCCAAGAAGAGTAAGCATAAGAGAAAGAAGGTTAAGCTGGTCGTCCTGAAATACTATAAGGTGGATGAAAATGGCAAAATTAGTCACCTTCATCGGGAGTGCCCTTCAGATGAATGTGGTGCTGGGATTTTTATGGCCAGCCATTTGACAGACATTATTGTGGTAAATGTTGTCTGACTTACTGCTTCAACAAACCGGAAGTTATTGTTTATGGGGACCAGTAGTTGGTGTAATGGCTATGTCACTGGACTCCCATGTAGTCGACCATGGTTTGAGTCCCGGACCCAGTGGCTTAAACTCACACTGGGCGGATGTGCGTACGTGCCCAAGATCCCAAGAGGACAATGGAGGAGAAGGGATTGCGGCATGGCCATCCCCCCCCCGGGGGGGGGGGGATGTCTCACTTTCTTTCTATCTCTTCTTTCTGGCGAGTACACATGCCCTATAGCAAAAACCTCTCCCAAAAAAAGTAATTGTTTATGAGTTCATAAAAGAAATAAACTAATCTTAAAAAAGAAAAAAAAACAAATGAGAAAAAGACTGCATTTGAGGACACCAGCCTCCTGACTGTGTAGCCTACTGATTAGAATGAGGCTTTTGTCAGAAAGCCCATTCAGTCATTCAGCAAGTTGAGCACCTATTCCAAGCAAGCTAAGTGCAGAGGATCCAGTGATGGACTAAAGCTAACAGGCCCTCTGCCCTCATGGAGCTTTCAGATCAGGGGATTAAGAGAGACCAGTATTCATCAAAACCCCAGTTCAGAGCATACGAGAATTGCTGTTTAGATAGTATGCTAGTTTTTTCTTTTTCTATATATACCACAGATGCTGTGGAATACTCCCTAGACAATGGAGATGGCCCTCCCTGCCTTCAGGTGAAGCCTTGCACTCCCGAGTTTTATCAGAAACACTGCCAGCTGGTGAGTCTTACATAACAGCAAGAGAGGAAGAGTTGGAAAATGAGATACCCTCCTGGGTGTACTGGTTTGTGAATATATTTCCTCATTAGTCAGTGCTGACTGAGTGCTTTATATGGCATTTCTGTTTTCATCTGGTGGGATTGAGAAGAATGTGATGTCTCTGTTTTTTTGAAATGTCTAAGCTAGTAGGGGAGTCAGTCTGTCATCAAGAAGCCAATGATCTAACTGGCTCGCTCTCCCCCAGGCCTATCGACTGCAATCTCGACCTCGAGGCTTAGCACTGGTGCTGAGCAATGTACACTTCACGGGAGAGAAAGATCTGGAATTTCGCTCTGGAGGGGATGTAGACCACAGTGCTCTAGTCACCCTCTTCAAGCTTTTGGGCTACAGCGTCCATGTTCTACATGATCAGACTGCACAGGTATCTGAAGCAGAAAAGCTGACCCGTAAATTAGAGGGCCGGGCAGAACTGAGGCTGGAAACGTCTGCTGCTCCCACACCTGCTGGGATAAGTCTTTGAAGTTATTTACCCTTCTCACCTTTTTACTCACTCTCTTCTACCTCTCATCTTGCAGTCTGGTGAAAAAGAATGAAGGTTAGCAGCTGTTTTGATACTGATGTCACAGGGTAGCTGTGCTTTCATGGAATAATAACAGTCTAGGGTGTGGCTCTCACTTTTGCTTGTTCAGAAACTTGATTCCCAGTCAGGAAGTGATGAGATACTGAGATTCACTCTCACCAACTCAGAAAAGATATAAACCAGGACTACACAGGCCATTTACTTCTTGGCTGGTATTGCTACTTAGGAGTACCAGTTACTGCTTAAAAAACACTTTGGCATATATAATTCTTGCAGATGGAAATGTGCCAGAATCATCCCTGTAAGCACTGTTGAAGAGCAGTCAGGTGCATTAACATTGGGAAATTTCTTGTTCTTATCGTTTGTATAGACTCAAGTCATATCTTAGAGTTGATTGCATCTAGACCAGACTATTGCAGAGCATCAGCGTTTTCATTATGGGTGGTGGTTCTCCATTTTTATTTTATTTATTTGTTTATTTTCTTTGTTAAGTTTGTTTATAGAGATAGCCATGACAAGTCTCTGCATGCCGTAGTCTTCCCCCACACCCACTGCACCCCACCCCCAGCCTTCCAGCCAGGTAGGGTTGTGGGCATCCCAGTCTATTTCGGCTCCTCCAGCGTGGCTTACAGTCCTCTCTCTGTGTGACTTCAGCATTGCAAAGTGGCTTTCTACCATCTGCACCACTGCCACCGGGCCAGTTATTGCTCCTTAAGCTCAGATACCAAGGTGCAGTACTGACCTTTAGGATTTCACTTCTAAAATCACTAATAACCTATTTGAAAATTAACTCTTAATTCCAGGAAATGGTACTTTCTTCAACTTGCTTTTGGGGTTGTCAGTGATGAATTAGAAGTTTTAGGAGTTTGACTTTGAACTCTTAAGATGGAGGACCCTGGTTTTGTGTTTAGCATTGCCTGTGGTCTTCATTTCTTTTTCTCAGCAGTCCTGCTTCTGTGAGAATAAATAATTATGTAGCTGGCATGCTTCTGTAAGGTTGGTTTCATCAGGAGCTGTCTGTGTGTTGTCATCTATATGCTATTTTTGTCAGGTTCCCAATAATAGCCCATGCAAAGTAGTAAGCTCACTCTGGCTTCAAAGCCATGGCTGGCATAGCTGCTTCAGTCATCACATGTTGAAGTGGGTTGTACACTTTCCTTAGAGGCCTGCTGGGCACAGAGGAGCAATGCCTATAGAGGACCCTGCTAGACAGTCACTTAACAGAATGTCTGCTGTGTATATTACCTCAGAGGCTTGATCTAGCCATTCCTTTTACTAGGACTCTGTTACATCATGACTTTTACATCGTATGCAGTTGATAAGGAGTCTCTCACATGCGTGGTAGTTAAGAATACAGGACTGAGTCACCCATTCAACTATGTCCTGTGTTTTTTTCAGAGATGTCTAGTAGACTTGATGAAGCTGTGCTCCCACTTTCATAAATGTCAGTCCCATTTATGCTAAACCTACTGTAGATTCAAGGACCTATTGGATTGTAATTTTCTGGTTACATTGTTGTGTAATTGGAATTAGAGTAGAGTTAACTTTTGAGGACTTGGTAATGGGGGACTACATTGGCTACCAGATATTTCATTAATAAAAATGTGGACCTTGGGCTGGCAGGTGGCGTGGTGGTTAAGGCACTGGACTCCCACGTGGCTGACCATAGTTCTAGTTCAGACCTGGTGACTTGCTTTCTCACCTCTCCTGTCCCCCCATTTTTCTCTGGTGAGCATGTGTGCCTTACAGCAAATTTTTAAATAATAATAGACAATACTTTTTAAAAAAAGTGAACTTGAGTTCAGGGGACTTCAGTTAGAATATGGGGTCTTGACATCAGCAGAAAAGAAGACATGTCTGCTTCTATTCCTAAAGACCAAGCAAGGTTAGAAACAGTATCTTCTATAATTGCTAAGAGGAAGGAATGCCTGGGTAGGTATGGACAGAAGGATAATGGAAGGTGGGACTAACACGGCCTTGAAGGATAGAAACAGCTAAAGCAGAGAGAAGAGTAAGGGTATCTGTACGGAATACTCTGGTGGGACCTCTCAGGAATCGGTTCTTTTCTCACATTACTATTGGCAAGCAGAGAAACACTGACAAAATTAAGATCCCCTTTTTCCTCCATTAAACCTTTTAACTTTAGCTATACATTCTGTTTAAAAATAGGAAATAGTGTTGTAGTCTTAGAGAATTGTCTTCCCTTGTGCTGTAGAGAACACTGGTATTCAGTGCCCAAGGATGTGTTCAGTTTTCTCTTGGTCATCAAATTCTCACTGCATTTACCTTACAAGGTTACTAGTTAAAGAATTAACGATTTACCATGTATTAGGAAATTAAATACATTTTTAACTGACAAATTTACTTTTACTATGTGATAACATTTTTAACTTATATTTGGTTCACAGACTGCCTTGAAAACATAGGCACAGTCCGGTGATGCATCATCCCTAGAAAATGGAGCTACTTGTACAGTTTTGCATATAATTTTGGGGGCTCACAGGCTAATTTTCTTTACGTGTGTCCTTCAACCCCCAGTCAAAAATACATACAAGAGTGAAGAACTCTGCTCTTTATAGAAATACAATAATTTTGTCAGAAATAAATCTACAGATCCTATTTTAAGCTATGTTGCTTGTGGAAAAATTCTCCCAAATGACTAATCCCCATTTATTGAATGGCTTAGTCTCATTAGGTTCAGTTACAAAGTGTATGTGTTCTTACTTTAGGCTTTGTTGTCCTCTGTTATTGACCCAGTAATCTCACTTAATTTAAAATGGTCATGAGTAGATGCCTAAGTATGTAATTTTTACACCCTTCAAGCAGAATTAACTACTTTAACTATTGTATATTTAATTATCTTATGGTCAGGTCCTGAAAAACATTCAAAGTTATGTATTCTCTTGAAATTGTATATTCTTGAAATAAATTAATTTTGGATATCTTAAGATTTCCAGTAGCAGTTACTTAGAAAAAGATACATACCAGCAAGTCCCAACAAAAACAATTCCTTTATTTCTAGTTCTTTTGCAGACTTTTTTTATGTAATGACATCCCAGTTATCTCCAAATAAAAGTATTCCAAATAGATTAGTTAGTAGTTCTCAAACTTTTAACATAACAGAATCACTGGGAGGGCTTGTTAAAACATAATTTTCTACAGCCCAAGATTTAACATTTTTTTTACAAGTTCCCAGGTGATGCTGCTGTTTATGTTGGGGCCATGATTAGAAGACCACTGAAATAAATTATTGTATAAGAGTGCTTATAGTTGAAAGTGCAGTGTGGTAAATGTATTTTTTTAAATTATTTTATTTATTCAATTTATTTATTTTAATTTTATCAGAGAGAGAGAGATAAAGTGAGAGAGCAAGCTGCCAGGTCCAGGACTTGAACCGTGGTCAGCCATGTGGGAGTGTCCAGCACCTTAACCACCACGCCACCTGCTGGCCCCGGTAAATGTTAAATAACATGTGTTCTTTTTTTTTTTTTTTTTTTTGGAGAGGTTTTTGCTATAGGGCGTGTGCGCTCGCCAGACAGAGACAGAAAGTGAGAAATCACCCCCCAGGGAGGATGGCCACGCTGCAATCCCTTCTCCTCCATTCTCCTTTCAGGATCTTGGGCACGCACACACACGCACCCGGCGTGAGTTTAAGCCAACGGGTCCAGGACTCAAACCGCGGTCGGCTACATGGGAGTCCAGCGACATAGCCATTGCACTAACTGCTGGTCCCAACGTGTGCTTTAACTATTCTACATTTTACCTTCATTGATATGTACAAAATGTACTTTGTTTCCTCTCTGCTCATCTCCAATAGGAGAGAAGACCCAGACATCTCAAACTGTAGAGGGAGACATAGGTTTAAAATTTTGTGCCCAATTATTATGCTATTAGGTACAGTGTAGCTTCCTGTTGGATGGACCAGTTGCTTAAGGTAGTGGTACTCACATATGACATCTTATTAGTGTGAGGTAAAATTCTTAAGGTAGACAAAGTTTGACCATAAAAGATTTGTTTGGGAAAATGATAATATTACTATTCTGTGTTACACATGCACATCTTAATTATAGATCCTTACAATGTGTACCAGACACAGTGATAGGTCCTTTCTATGTGATAACTTATTTAATCTTCACAGGCTCAGAGAAATTTTACTCATAATTTTTTTTTTTTTTTTGAGAGAGGTTTTTCACTATAGGGCGCGTGCGCTCGCCAGACAGACAGAGAGAGACATAGAGACAGAAAGCGAGAAATCACCCCCCAGGGGGGATGGTCACGCCGCAATCCCTTCTCCTCCATTCTCCTCTCGGGATCTTGGGCACGCACACGCGCCCGGCGTGAGTTTTAAGCCACCGGGTCCGGGACGCGAACCGCGGTCGACTACGTGGGAGTCCAGCGACATAGCCATTACGCTAACTGCTGGTTCCCTCATAATTATTTTCTTATAATGTGGAAATTGGAGCCTTGAGCCTTAAATAACTTGTTTCAATTTACAAACTCAGAGCTCAAACCTAGATTGATCTGATCCCAGATCCCTGTGTGTGTTATCGCTGTCCTGAATCCCTGTATGGAGTCCTCTGTCACAACATGCTCTTCCCTGAACAGTGTTTTATATAGACACTGTCACTGTCTCTTGGATACTTCTAGTCTCAGACATAAAGGACTGCACTGCTGTCATGCTGCTGTTGGTCCTGTGTCAGAGAGCAGTCTGTTTTCTTCTAGCTGAATAGGTGTGCTTACAGCTCCCCTGCTGGTTGTACTTGCTCTGGTTCATGATCAGGGAATGAGTCAAAGCTGACTTGCTCCAATTAGCTTCATTAAAAACTTGGCCTTAATCCAAGAGTTCTCAGCCTGTCTCAGTGAATCTGAGAATCTATGTTCAGTTTTGTGTACGAAATCACATGCATTTCTAGCCTCTCAAAGGAAATCTGACTTATATTATTATTCCATTATTACTGACTACGAGAATATATGGAAATCATTTTATCTTCTAATAGTTCAGGGTTTCAAACAAAACTAAAGAGTGATGCTTATATTGGTGGTGTCTGCAATGAGCAGCTCTAAAAGGTGCCTTTCTTTTAGGAAATGCAAGAGAAACTCCAGAATTTTGCACAGTTACCAGCACACCGTGTCACGGACTCCTGCATAGTGGCACTCCTCTCACATGGGGTGGAGGGTGGCATCTACGGTGTGGATGGCAAGCTGCTTCAGGTATGTGCAGTCTCGTCTAAGCTAACTGTTGAAACAGGCCCCTTCGCTCCTGCCCACCCGCGTGCCTTTGCATTGATGACCGCTGTTGTATTATGGGTAGGGCTTCCGGAGGTCTGCTGACTACTTAAGTGCCCTTCTCCATTATCTCTTCCTGGCAGCTACAAGAGGTTTTTCGGCTATTTGACAATGCCAACTGCCCGAACCTACAGAACAAGCCGAAAATGTTCTTCATCCAGGCCTGCCGTGGAGGTGAGTGCCCTAGCAGACCAGCACCTGGGTGGCGGCTCCTGGGAAGCCTCCCACCAGCTCTCACTTTCCTGTTTGCTCCTCTCAGGTGCTATTGGATCCCTTGGGCACCTTCTGTTCACTGCTGCCACCGCCTCTCTTGCTCTGTAAGTGTCTCCCAATGCATGGGGTGTGCTGGGACTTGGGCAGCCCATGGCCCTCAGGCTGGTCAGCCCTCCGTGCACCACCATCTCCTCTTCTCAGGATCCTCTTCTCAGTGTCTCTGCCTTCCTTTCTGAGAACTCTTGCTCTTTTTTATGCTTCTTACCTCTGATGTGCTGTTCTATTGTTGCTCATTCCAGTTAAGGATTTTCTGTCTCTTCCTATCTTTCTCACTTTATCCCCTTCTTTTTTGTCTCTCTCTCCTCCCCCTTTCCACTCCATCCTGGCACTTTCATTCTTGCCCCCGTTCTTCTCGTTATCATTCATGGACCATGGAGGATAGCAGCATAGAATCCATGCCAGCCTTTGACTCTTCCCATTCCATGAGCTGCTCTGTCCCCCTTCTTTCTTGCATGCAGTCTGTTTTAACCTTGAGGAGCCAGGACTGCATGATGAGGCTCAGAAGACATACAGGTGTGTGTCTCATCCTGCAGGGGAGAGTAGCAATTGGGCGTTGTAACTTTAGAGTCAGATTCTGACTTCACCACTGACTAGTTATGTGGCGTCCAAGAAGTTCCTTGACTTCCCTCCACTCAATTCCCATGGTACTAAATGGAGATAGTCCTTGTACCTGCTTCATAAGGTGGTTCTGTGGTGAAATGGATTTATGTGTTGAAGGGGCTAACTTAGCACAGTACCTGCCTCAGTAAAACTGTAACTGTTGTAACATTGATCAGGCCCTCAGGGGGCTTATAATAGGGCTTAAAGGTCACTTCGTTCAAATCATTTAACTGTTGGGTGGCAAATATAGGTGGATAAATATCCTCCAACATAATGGCACTAGAATGTTTTATCAGTGTCCTACAATGTGACTGGGACTATAGTAGGTACTATCACAGGAGCATAAGAAAATGTGGCCTCTATAAGGGACCCCCTGATTACTCAGGAGAATAAAGCAAATGACATGAAGTTCCTTAAGATAGTTCAAGGGCCTAATGAAAATAAGAGTGTGGGCCAGCCCACAGCATGGTGGTTAGGTTGGCTGGATCCCACATGACCGACTGCAGGGTTCTAGTCCCAGACCCAGTGGCATGAGAACCATATTGGGCACATGTGCGTGTGTGCCTGAAATCCCAAAGGGAGGGAGAGGTGGAAGAGAGGACAGTGGTGTGACCATTCCCTGTGATGAATGCTTTCTTGCTTTCTCTCTGTCTCCAGTGAGTGTGCAAACCTTGGGGGGGAAAGTAAAAGGCAAAAGAAAACAAGGTTGATTATAGTGATATGCAGTCTGCCCATGTAAAAGAATATGCAGAAAGAATTCACCTCTTTAAGTGAAGTAGTTTGAAGAGATTTTTGTGAATCTGGTAAGACATAATTTGCGCCTAGATGAGTATGATTTACATAGGTTTGGAGAGATGAGAGTCTTTCATGGGAAAAGGGTCATTGTGACCTGCCAGGCACACCAAAAAGGACATGTCTTGCCCTCCCTCTATATCCTCCCGCAAAAAAAAAAAAAAAAAAATGAAGTCTGCATCTACTTAAACTGTCTGTGTGGGTCTATATTGAGATGTAGCAGCTACATGAAGTAGATCTGTCTGGTAACAGATCCATACTCAGCCGAGACTTGGGACTTCAACACATGATAGTACAGAGCTGTTTGGAGCCTAAGTGAGAAATGACGTGGTCCCCGTGGCAGGAGCTGCACTGAGGAAAGAGCATGAATGTGTTCATTTACTGCTACACCTCCAGGCCCAGAGGACCACCTGACATGTGGAAGCGCTTAATATCAAATGAATGAAAATTAATCTTTAAAAAATATTACAGCCATAACATAGGAGACGTTCCTCTTTTCTAGAGATGTCGGAATTGTTTGTTTTGTCTTTCCAACTTCTCTCTAAAATAAAAATCCTTTGAGGGGTAATAACCCCTAGCCAGTTTGAAAATTTGAGTGTACTGTCTTCCCGCTGTATTTGGTTAGTGTCTGTCAGAAGCGTCCCCCACCTTAGTTGCCTGACTCCAAAACTGGAGCATGAGTTCCATAAACAGTACCTAGCACTTGGCAGTTGCTCAGTCAGCTTTTATTGGTTAGTCTTGGTTCTGTTTCCTGCAATTCTCTGGGCATCCCTACCTATCAGACTTTCTCAGCTATTACAGGGAGCAGGAAAGCGTACTCTTTCACCTTCTCTGTGTCACCCCGTGAGTCCTCCATCTCCCTCTTTTCTACCCTGGAAAAATTACTGCTAAAATCGAATAATGATGTTCTTTTTCCATTTTGTAGGGGAAAATAGTCAAATTTTCTCAATTTAAGTTTTTCCTCTTTCAAATTTATCTTAAATCTTAGGTGCTGCTTTAATTTATCTTATGAAATCATTAAGTAGATATTACATTCTCTAAAAATATTAAAACCACCTTGGAAACAGCTGGTCAGACTTATTTTATAATTTAACTGATATCTAATTTAAGATGATTTTTATATGGCATACATGTAGCAACCACTTTTTTTTGTTTATTAACTTGTCTTGTGTAGTAAAACTGAATGCATCAATATTTTATTGTGTATTGCAATAAAAAGCACTGACTTCCAGGTATATTGCTAATGAACAAGAGGATCGTGAACTTAGGATGTGTTTTTAGTCATTACAAGGAGTGTTTGATTGGGCACCTCCCTGGTCTCACAGACTGGGAGATGCTCCACCCCATATGTGCATGTGCTTGAGCTCGGGGCCTTGCCTATAGCGGGCCCCTCCTGAGTAATGGATGCATGCAGAGAGAATAACGATTTTTCCCCATCAGTCATGAGTTGGAGGCCACAGCTGGAAATGGCTCGTCTCAGTCAAGCTTGTTGGGAGCTTGGGGCTTGCCTATGACAGGCCCAAGAGAGATGGGAGGAAGTGACACCTTTGTCCATTCTGTCTGCCTTTGTACAGATGAGACCGATCGTGGGGTTGACCAGCAAGATGGAAAGAACCATGCAAGGTCCCCTGGGTGTGAGGAGAGTGATGCTAGCAAAGAGGAGATGCTGAGGACGAGACTGCCCACTCGCTCCGACATGATCTGTGGCTACGCCTGCCTCAAAGGTATTTCAATTTCCCAGAGAATAGCGCAAAAGGTCCTATTCTCCTGGATTTGGTTTTTTTTTTTTCACTCTGAGCCCTGGCTGGGGCGGCTATTAAAGTCTGGTTGGGGTGATCCAACTGAGAGAACCTCACAGCATTCACACAGGTTGATGTTCTCTGGTCGCAGGGACTGCTGCCATGCGAAACACCAAACGTGGTTCCTGGTACATCCAGGCCCTCACTCAGGTGTTCTCCGAGAGGGCTTGCGACATGCATGTTGCCGACATGCTGGTTAAGGTAAGTCAGCTCAGGTGGCTTCATAAACCTCAGCATCTCCATAGTGCTCTGCCTTCCTCCCCTCATGCTGTTTGTCTCTTCACCCTGGCTGTTAGACTGCTATCAGGACAGTGCATGATTCTTAGACTTTGGACCTTTGGTTCTGCATTTCCAGGTGAATGCACTCATCAAGGAACGCGAAGGCTACGCCCCTGGCACAGAGTTCCACCGATGCAAAGAGATGTCTGAGTACTGTAGCACTCTGTGCCGCCACCTCTACTTGTTTCCAGGACACCCTCCCACGTGATGCCACTTCCGCAGCATGTGTCTACACAGAGGCCACTGGACCCCAGGATAGTCTTTTCAGGATACACAGCTTCTGTTCTTCCCCCTCAGGGATGTGGGACCTACCAGGCCTGTCTCCTCTGCCCGCCATCTCTGCCTCTCACTCTGACATAGGATTCCAGGGCAGCACCTTCCCTGGAAAGTACTCTCCTCTTAAAGCCAGCTGAGTTGGACTTGTTTGCAAGGAATGTTTTGTTTTGGCTGCAGTTGAACAGCCTGGCAAGTGACGTTCTAAGACTGTCATCATGTGGAGGGGACACCTCAATGCTTGTGGTCGATGCTTATGTTCAGTTCCTGCCCCCAGGGCTTTCACAGTTGGCCTTTGGTCATTGCTTTTATTAACATTAGTTGAAGTGTCTCTGAGCTCATCTCCTGTCTTTCATTCTGGGCCCCCACTCAACAGTTGCCCAGCATGCTTTTCAAGCTGCTGGGCCTGGGGCTTAAACCATGCAGTTGGCCATTTGGGATCCAGCACCTTAGCCATCATGCCACCTGCTGACTCTACCCTTCCCTTTTCTTCAAGGCCTTTTTCTTCCATTCTTTCTCCTTCCAAACTATTCTCCACATAAGTCTATGGAGTCTGTTCTCCCCACCACCACCATCGCCACCATTTTCTGCAGGTGGCATCTTTGTTTTTTAAGTCTTGGTTTAAATGTCACCTTTTTGTGGAGATCTTCTCAGGTCTGTCTGTCTCTCAGCAGCCCTGTGTCTTACTGCATTCTGATTATTTCATCCATTGTACTTATCGGAATTTGTAATTATGTATATGCTTATTTCGAGTGTTTATTTCTGTCTTTGGTTTTCTGCAGACTCCAAGAGGGCAGAAATTCAGTTTAATTTTTTATTTTATTATTTTTTTAAAAATTTATTATAGGGTGCATGCACTCTGCTGGAGAGAGAGAGAGAAGGAAGGTAAGAAAGTGCCCCGCAGGGTGTACCCAGTGTCTGGCACATAGCTGGTCTTCAGTAAGCATTCACTGAAGGAAGAAAGCAAGCCGGCACTGGTTGGAATCCTACTTTTTGAAAAAACTTCCCTTTTGACATTATACCTAGTGTAGTGTTTGTACTCCATTTTTTTCATGTGTTTTGTTTTTATCCACTGGTGTTTTTAACTCCTTGAGGACAAATCGTGTATGAGACAGCTTTCTTTGCATCTCCCATGGTGCCTAGCAAAACGCTAGGCCACAGTAGTCAAGGTGCTCAATAAATATTTGTTATGTGAGCCAGGTGGCGTGAAGACTTGCTGCCAAGTCCTGACTGGGGTCAGTATAGTATGGAAGTATTGGGTGATACAACCTTTCCACTTCCCACTGCCAGAATTTTGTATTGCCATCAGGTGCCAAATAAATGTTCATATTTGTTACCTGTGTGTGCCTGATGTCTGTTTCTGTAGATAGTCTTCTGAAGCCCCTGTCTACTCTCTTAGCCCCTGCATTGCAGTGTTGCTTGCACTTCATAGGACATACCCAGAACTGAAAGCTCCTTATTTTGTGCCATGATCTTTTTATGTATGTACAGATATGGGCCTTTCTCGTTTGGCAAAGTCCTGGGGTTTCTCAAGGTCTGATGCGATGGAGGAGTCTCCAAGCTGTGTTGATCTGGGGCTGTTGAGATACAATAGAGGCTGATGTTACAGATTGGGCTGGACTAGAAGGGTGGCAGGGTGGGGATATTGGAATTCCATTTCTCACATGGTCCAATTTGGATTCAAGGTCTAAGGATTCTGTTGCAGTGTAGAGGTGATAGAATTCTTGGGGTGCGTTGTATCAAACATGGACTGTGGAGTATGTGAGAGATGGGAAATTTTATTGGAGCCTTTTGGTAGGAAACAACCTCGCAGCCTGGGGAACGTAGCCAAGGAATACAAAGGAGTGGGTGTCTATCTGGGAAGAGCAAAAGAGAACTGAGTTGAGCTGAAATACAACACAGACGAGAATTTATTGCATAAGAATCAGGGACAAAGACATGGAAATGGGCCGAAACAGCTTGGTTTTATTGCAAGGAAAAGCAGGGGTTAGCCTCGAGGGAGGCGAGATGCAATCTGGAAGTTAGGAGAGTACTAGGACAGTAGGAATAAGGTAAATACCCATTTTCAGGATAGAATAAGTGTTGGAGGTGTGATATGTCTGGGGATTACAGAGCAGGATGGCTCTGAGCTGGATTCCACATGCTTCCCACCCCCACCCTTGAACAAGGGTTTCAGGTTGAATTTCACAGCTCTATTCCCTTCCCCCTGCTCACCTCTGCCAGGGGATTCTCTTCTAAAATTATCCCTTCCCTGAGCTGAGACTGCCCTTCCCCATCCTGTCTTCTCTAAAAAGGAGAACACATGAAACATTCCTGTATCAGGCCAGGCTGTGATAGGAAGGGAAGGGAGGAAGTCTCAGCTAAGCAGGAGAGAGACATTAACAAGGCTGGTAACATGGAGTGTGTGCTGTGGTAGGTACAGCAAACAGCTTTCCATCCTATCTACCCCACAGTCCCACGAAGGAGTCATTTTCCCACTTCAAAACAGGAAAATGTCGGGGACCAGCAGTTAGCATAATGGCTATGTTGCTGGACTCCCATGTAGTCGACCACGGTTCAAGTCCGGACCCCGTGGCTTAAACTCATGCTGGGCGTGTGTGCGTGCGTGCCCAAGATCCCAAGAAGAGAATGGAGGAGAAGGGATTGTGGCATGGCCATCCCCCCTGGGGGGTGATTTCTCGCTTTTTCTATCTATCTCTCTGTCGTTCGGGTGGGCGCATGCGCCCTATATCGAAAACCTCTCAAAAAAAAAAAAAAAAACAGGAAAATGAGGCTCAGAAATAATTATCAAGAGAGGAGGAAATGTCACTTTAAGGGCATGAGCTTCAATTAGTAGGTCTGGTTTCCAATGCTGGGTCTGCCTTTGAAGACAGCAGAGACTTGGCCAAGGTAGTAAATTTGATGATACATCTAAGTCACGTGGTATTCATGCTTTAATAATGCTTGATAAATGTGAACTGTCTAGGGTCCAGCCCTGTGGCCAAGTGGTTAAGACAGCTGAATCCTATAGGGCCAACTGGTTCATCTCAACCACGGGGTATGCACATGTACCCAGAATACCAACAGGGTAAGAAATGGAGTAGGAATTGCAGCGTGGTCACGCCCCATTGAGGGGTAATTTCTCCCTCCCCGTTGCCCTCTCTCTGACTCTAGTAAGCACATGTGCCCTCTGCCAAGTGTTTTAAAAAGTGTTCACTAGCAGAATGAGTTTTCATTTATTTATTTTCTTTTTCTAATTGCTTGAGGACATGTGTACTTGTCAGAGACTGGAAGAAAGTACCACTCTATGGAGCGGACACTGCAATTCCCTCGCCATTTCTTCATCCTGGTGGGATTTGGGAGCATACGTGCACATGTGTCTGATGTGTTTATCAAGCTACCAGAGCCAGGATTTAGACTGCGACCAGTCCCATTGGACCCAGCCAGCTCCCTTAACCACTAGGCTACGGGACTGGCCCAAGCTTCAATAATGCGAGTTAATATTTGGTGCTCTCTCTGGGTCAAACGCTATGGCAAGTTTTTTTTGCATGCATTCATTTATCCACAAAACCTAGTTACTGTTTTTCTGAGGAAACAGACCAAGCTACAAAACTAAACTGTCACCCTAAATGTGTGCTTATAACTCTTTTTTTGTAACTTACTGGCATGAGACTTTTTTTTCCTCCTCACCTCATGGGGCTATTTATTCTTCCCATTGGGCTGGGAAAATGAGACAGAAACTAAAACCTGTATTCCATCTTAGCCCCACTTTAGAAGATAATTTGGGGGAAAGTGTATCATGTTTGAAAAGCCAGAAGGGGGGGGAAGAGAACTATCTATTGCTAGAGCAAAGCTGAATATTCGGGGCTTAGGAAGGCCGGGCCCAAAGGGGAGTGGAGGAGAAGGGCCACAGTGCAGGAAGCTGCACAGAAGGCATGTCCACAGGAGGTCCTGGCTGATTAGCAGACATTTCTAAAAGCAGAGGGACCTGGGCTCTGCTCTGCCTGATAGGTAGAGAGAAAATGAGGACTGAAAACACCCTTAAAGAAAATAACAGTTATGTTATCCAGTAGGCTGGGGAGACCAGACCCAAAGATAGAGTCTGAAAACAAGGGTATAACCCAGAAAGAAAATTAATGCTTAAACTGATGTGGGATGTGGACAGGCTGGCTCATAGGCAACCATGGGTACACCTGACACAGACTCCTCCCTTTCATGGTGTACCCTGCATGTCCACTTTCTTTTTTTAATTATTTGTTCATTTTATTTCTTATTCTTCAGTTTGACAGACAGAGAATGAGTAAGAAAGCAAGTTGCCAGGTCTGGAACTTAAACCATGGCCAGCCATGTGGGAGTCCAATGCCTAAACCACCATGCCACGTACCGTCCCCTGCATGGCCGTTTTATACAGCCTTCCTACAAAGAGCAATTCTGTAAGCCTATAGGTTTGAACCTCTTAGAACTATAGACCCTAGGAGAATCTAAAACAATAGAAAAATACACATTCATGCATAAGTATGAATTTGCTCTCAAATTTAGGAGTTTCTTGAGACAACACAGAAGCCCATTTTAGCCCTTCTAAAACCTAAACATGAGGCCCAGTGGAATGTTGGGGTGACAGGTAGCCATAGTATATATTTTTCTCATTCTCTTATAAAACAACCCATGGGACTTGAATTCTTTCTAATTTCAAACACAAGATATTTACTCTTAAATTCTTTTTAGCACTGGCACTCAAGGTGTCCTTGACCTTCCTAATTCCACAATCTGGTTTCTAGAATTGCAGTTGGCCTGTTCCTTCTAGACTGCACACTTCTACTGGGCTTCAGCAAATGCAAGGGCAGTCCCCATCCCCTCAGAACTCTGCCTTCAATCTCAGAATCTGACCAGGCTGCACTGTTTTAATTTTCTCAGGAATAGTAAGGAAGTAGTAATTGCATCTGATACTTGTTTCTCAAGGTTATCAGGTTCCAGCAGGTGAACATCTTTTTTTTTTGGAGAGGTTTTTTGCTATAGGGCGCGTGCGCTCGCCAGACAGACAGAGAGAGACAGAGAGACAGAAAGCGAGAAATCACCCCCTAAAGGGGATGGTCACACCGCGATCCCTTCTCCATTCTCCTCGCGGGATCTTGGGCACGCACGCACACGCGCCCGGCATGAGTTACGCTAACTGCTGGTTCCCCATCTTCTCTGTTTCTAAAGTCCTCCACGGAATGTATGCTCACTTTGGTGCTCCATCTTCTTTGTTTTTTGTTTTTTAAGGTTTTTGTCATAGAGGACATGAACTCACCAAAGACAGTGAGAGGGAAAGCGAGAAATCACCTTCGTAGGGGGCATAACCATGCCACAATCCCTTCCTCATTCTCGGGGAATTTGGGCATGCACACACATGTGCCCAGCGTGATTTTCAAGCTGCCAAGCCTGAGAGTTGAATCATAGTCGGCCATGTGGGAGACCAGCACCTTAACCACTACGCCATTTGCCAGTTCTGCTCTGTCTTAAGAAGCTGTTCCTTTCATTTCACAGGAATCCCTTAAGTATATTTTCTTATGGTCTACCTGCAGAAAAGGTGGGTATTAGCACAGTTCTTTTTTTGAAACAATTATTTATTGTCATTTTATTTAATTTTGTTGAAGTTGACCAGAGAGAGAGAAGGAAAGTGAAAAAGCAAGCTGCCGGGTTCGAGACAAACTACTGTCAGCCATGCAGAGTCCAGCCGCCTTGACCACCATGCCACCTGCCAGCCCTGGCGCAGTTCTTTTAACCCCTCAAATCACACATTTGTAATCTTTATGGGTAGGTTGTAGGCCTTGAGGTTTGTAGGGCTATTGTCAGAAAATATGCTTTTGTATTTTACAGCTTTATTGACATAATTGACAATAGAAGTACCTATTTAAGATGTGAAATAAAACTTGATGTATTAATACACATTGTGAAATGGTCATCATAATTAAGCTGGTTACCCATACTCATCACCTTACACAGTAACCATTTTATTTTATTTTATTTTTGTGATGACAACACTTAAGATATATCCTCAGCAACTCTAGTCACCATGTGCATAGATTTCCAAATTTTCATGTCACGAAACCGAAACCTTGTTCCTTTTGACAAACACCTCCCAACCCCTGCACCCTACTCCTTTCTACTCTCTGCTTCTATATGTTTGACTTGTTTAGAGTCCACGTAGGCGTGAGATCATTCGGGGTGTGTTTTTCTGTGTCCGATTTATTTCATTTACCAAAATGACCGCCAGTTTCCTCCATGTCATTGACAGTGACAGGATTTCTTTTTTAAAAAACTGAATAATACTCTCTTGCATATATTTATCCACTATATTTTCTTCTTTTGGAGAGGATTTTTTTGCTATAGGGCACTGTGTGCTTGCCAGAAAAAGAGATACAGAGAGACAGAAAGTGAGAAATCACCCCCCGGGGGGATGGCCATGCCACAGTCCCTTCTCCGCCAGTCTCCTCTCGGGATCTTGGGCATGCATGCACACATGCCCGGCATGGGTTTAAGCCACCGGGTCTGGGACTCAGTGCTGTCGACTACATGGAAGTCCAGCGACATAGCCATTACGCCAACTGCTGGTCCCCTATATTTTCTTTTTTATAATTATTTTCTTCAACTTTATTTATTGTTACATTTGAATAGTTCCAGAGAGAGAGAGAGAGGGAAAGTGAGAAAGCAAGCCTCCAAGTCCAGGACTCAAACCACAGTCAGCCATGTGGGAGTCCAGCACCCTTAACCACCATGCCACCTGCCAGCCCCTCCACTATATTTTCTTAATCCATCTGTTGAACATTTAAGTTGTCTTCATATCTTAGCTGTTATGAATATGCAAGGTCTTCAAAAAGTTTGTGGAAAAATGGGTATTACGGAAGAAATATGGGGCTGGCTCTGTAGCACAGTGGTTAAGTGCAATTTGAATCTCGGCCTCGGGGGCTTAAAAAAGGCACCCACAGTGTGTGTGTCCCCAAAGTCTGGACAGAAAGGAGACATAGAGGAAAAAGGATTGTGGCATGATTGGGCCCCATTAGGGCATTCTCTCTCTCTCACTCTCTCTCCTCTCTCTCCTCTGGTGAGTGAATGTGTCACTGGTGCAAGAAAAAAAAAGTATGCATGGATTTCAGTTTTTGTTTTATTTTTATGTATTGTTAGATGGTACATGCACTTACAAGAGAGAGACAGGAAGAAAGCAACTCCCAGTGGGGCACAGTCATGCCACACTCCCTTTTCCATTTCTCCATCCTGTCAGGATTTGGGGCACACATGCACATGTACCCATGTGCTTCCTAAATGTTCACACACATGCACCCACATGCTTCCTAAGTGTGTAGCCAGGACCTGAACCATGGTCAGCCATGTAGGAACTGGCTCCTCAGCCCCTGACTGGCCCTCAGATATTTTTTCTTTTTTGAAGAGGTTTTTGCTATAGGGCACGTGTGCTTGCCAGACAGAGACAGAGAGACAGAAAGTGAGAAATCACCCCCCCAGGGGGTATGGCCACACCACAGTCCTTTCTCCTCTCAGGATCTTAGGCACGCATGCACACATGCCCAGCGTAAGTTTAAGCCACTGGGTCTGGGACTCGGACCACGGTCGGCTACATGGGAGTCCAGTGACATAGCCATTACGCTAACTGCTGGTATTTTTAATACCAAAATACTTTAATGATACTTTAATTTCCTTTTCCATGAACCTTTTTTGATGTTCTCTCATAATGTGACAGTGAATGTGGCAGTACAAATATCTCTTTTGAGATACTGATTTTACTTCCCTTGGGTATATATGCAGAAGTGAAATTGCTGGGTCATATAGTAGTTATTTTTAACTTTTTGAGGAACTTTTCATACTGTTTTCCGTAATTACGCCCACCAGTGGTGCACGAGTGTTCTCCTTTCTCACAGGTTGTCTCCTTTCCCTGTGTCTCTCGAACACTGAGAGATTCTCCTGTCTGAGACTAGCCCTGCTGACAGGTATGAGGTGGTATCTCTGGCTTTAATTTGCATTTCCCTGAAGAGTGATGTTGAGCACCTGGGAAAGGTGCCTTTCTGGGTGTCTATTTTCCTACATGTGTTGGCTCTTTCCACTTAGCTAGGTGATAATCGCCTCATGGATGAGATGTTCAGTGCCCCCACCCTGCAGTCCCTAACGTAGACTGTTCCGGAACGGCTCCCACCTGTGGTGGACCTCAACCTCACTTTGGCTCAGTTTGTATCTTCCTCAGTGACAAGTTCCTAGGGAAGGACTGTCCTAGGAAGATCAATGGAGGAAAAATAAAAGCAATCCCAGATAGAATAGTTTGGGCTTGACCAACAATGATTTACTGGCCTGAAAAGGGAAGAACAGCAGAGAGTACTTCCCCATCATCTTTTATGTCTGTTGGACTCATCATGAAACGCTGCCTCCCTTCCCACCTCCACCCTCCCCGTGCCTGTTATCTCTGTTATCTCACCTACCTGATAGAACTGTGATGGTCCATGTGGAAGCTCTGTCCCTCCCTGTAGGTCTGGGCTGGTGTAGTACCTGACACACAGAAGTCTGGGAAGTAGGGAACATTCCAGAACCCAAGGCTATCACTTTCCCACAAGCAGCCCGCACCCAGTAGGTGATAAGGGTGGGATCAAAGGATGTCACCAAAGTGTTATTTAGGAGCCTCTGGTGGACAGAAAGGCAGAGTGGAGGAGAAGCTTGGAAATGGGACGGGCTGGGGGAGCTGGCCAGACAGAATCTTAGGGTGCAACGAGGACTCCGCCTGGCGAAGGGATGGAGCTGGGAGCCACCCCACAGGGGAAGATGGCAGGGAGGCACCAGGTACTCTCCCAGGTGAGTCAGCCCTTCAGCATCTCTGGATGTCAGAGTCACTTCGCCCAACCGCCCACCCTACCTTCTCTGACAAAGGGGACACAGGCGGCGTCATGCACATCTGCTCTGCACACGGGGCTGACAGCGTACTAAGCAGTTTCCCTTTCTGGTTCGGGTGATATTTATAGAGGGACCAGGGACGTGGGGCTGGAAGCCTCCTGGTAACTCAGGAGAGGACAATGCTGCTGACTCGGCCAGGGCCAGGGAGTTCCCTGGGGGGCTGCCCCTTAGGTTCTCATCCCAGCCCCCACCCCGCAGCCTCTCACACCTGCTTCGACCCCAAGCAGATCAGATGTGGCCGAGGGGGGGGTCATGTGACGGAGAGGTGGCTATAAATAGCTGGAGGTGGGCATGTTGCCCCAGACGCCTTGGGGACGGGCAGGAGCAGAGGCTTAAGGAGCTGCCTTGGGGGGAGGACGGGGCAAGCAGGCCAGGTCCTGGCCGGGGCTGGAGGGAGGGGACATGGAGCGATCTGAGTCACAGCGACGTGGGGGCGAGCAAAGCTGGTGGGGCAGCGCCCCCCAGTACCAGTACCTGCCCACTGAACACCACACCAGCTACGGACTGCCCTCTGAGAACAGGGGCCTCCAGCGCAGGCTCCGGAAGGACGCAGACCCCCACCACAGCACCCACCCCACACAGGTAAAGTCCTCAGGGGAGGGGGCTGCCATCAGGGGAGACGGTGATGCCTGAGCTTGACGAGAATTAAGAATTAGTTGAGAACAGGGAGCTGAGTTTGTTGGTTTGTTTTGAATTTTAAGAAGACTGTATGGTAACGTGTTCAAAATGGGAAACCCTTCAAAGCCTGGCTTACCCAAGTATGTGTCTAAACAGCAGAGGCATCCATGCACTTTCTTGTAACCTTTGCTGACACGGGGCTGAGCCCCACGGGGTGAGACACAACAGCCCTGTGGGCAGACTAGCTCGGCTTACGTAACCGTGGAGTGACCTGCGGCAGGGCCCACACCGCTGTTTGCCCCGAGTGCTTCCCACACCTCACCACATGCAGACGCCCCACCTCTCTCCACCATGACCCTCAGCAGAACACACACATGAGCAAACCCTTCTGCAGATGGCAGAAGACGGAGTTGGCATGAGTGGAGAGAACAGACTGAGTCGTTCCTCAGTGACCAAATATTGACCAGTGTCAACGTGATCAGAGAAACGTAATCAGGCATTTAGGTGACGAGGTTAATCAAGTGTCCCAGGCACCTGGGAGGGTGAGAGCTGGGATTCCAGGGAGAGGAACCCCCAAAACAACTGGGGGTACCCAGGGATACGTATCCTCCAGGGTGGGGATTGGTGGGTTATGGACATCTAGGGAAGGGGGAGTTGCTGAAGCGAAGGTCGAGAAAGAGATGCAGGCCACCACGGGTAAGTGTGCGCTCAGTCCAGAGCACACAGCGGACAGGGGAGGGTCAGGGTCTGGGGGCAGGAGAGCCTGATGTACAGCAGTTTCTGCTCATGGGAACACAGGGTTCCTTTAGGTTCCGGGCTGGGAAGCTGATGCTGGGCTGAGCAGGTGATGTCAGCATCAGGGTCAAGAGGCCCCACTCTCCATCCCTGGCCAGCCCCCCAGGGTGGCTGTGAAGGCCACCAGGGATCAGTTAGGGAGGGGAACATAAGGTCAGAGCAGCCTCTCATGGTGAGTGAGCAAAGGCTTCTTGGTGGAGGCAGGGTCTGCCCTGGGCCCAACACTGTGGGGTTACACAAAAAGACCCCTCCTGTTCCGTGTCACTTGGTGGTACATGACCGCATCTGGGTGTGACAACATGCATAGAAGTGCAGTTATGGCACTTTCTGGTGGTGGCCAGGAAACTGGGCCAAGGAGTATGCCGCTCCATGCTGGACAGGACCGGTGAGCTGGTTTCCAGAGGGCCTCGAAAGCAGAGGAGTGTGCTTGCTTTTTATTACGGAGACTGTGAGACTCACCCAGAAATAAATGCACCGATGCCGGGTACCCAGCAGTCAGCAGTCTTGGGTCAGTGCTGTTTCATCCCACCCCACCCTCACCCCTGCACACAACCAGGAGCACTTGGAACAAATCTCAGGCCCTGAATTGCTTGGAGACTGGAGCTTTGATTTCTCCTTTCCCCTCCCCTATCCTGTCCTGGTGTGGTGGTTCGCCCCCGACCAGCCAGGACAGAGCTGGCTGGGTAGAGTTTTCCAAATCCTGGGCTGGAAATGCCACAACCCCTTCCCTATCTCCACCGACCTCGGCTGGCTGACCTCCACTGGGTCTTCGTATGGGTTCCAGGTAGGGTGTAGAGGGAAACATTGACTCCGAGGTCACTACCCTCATCCCAGAAGATGAAATCGCCCTGAGCAGGGTAATTCGTGTGTGCCTGCTCAAGACCAAGGCAGAAAACTCTGCTGCTGCAGTTGTGAAATCAGATCTCTTCCAGCCGGGCTCTCCCAGAATCGGCCGCCTGGCCTGGCCTGACCCAGCCCCAGAGGACGGAGTAGAGTAGTGGGGGTGGGGCAGCTAAAAGTGATCAGAGCTCCCGCACACCCCACGCAACACACTGGGACGGGAGAGAAGGGCCTCTCCCCATGGCAGGGGTTTGATCGTCACACATTGCAGGCTGCCTTTCAGGGCTGGTTTCTGTTCATGTGGACGATCACTGTAAGACGAGGTGGCTGGGCTTGCTCCAAGCTTGACAGGACCCGAAGTGCCCCATCCTAAACAAAGTGCAGTCAAGAGCCATTTGCTTGCTGGGCCAGTCCTGTCCTCAGCCTGCCCAGGTAGGATCCCTTGGAGAGAAGTCACACAGCAGTTGGGAAGATTGCAGAGGCACAGAGAGCAGTGGTGATCAAGGTTAGCCCGCGGCATGGTGGCTAGGAGGCCACCACACTGTCAACCATGCGGGTTTAGTCCCAGACTCGGCAGCTTGAGAAACAAGCACGGTGTGTGTATATGCGTGTGTGCCCTAACATCCAGAGGAAGGATGGAGAAGGGATTATAACATGACCAGCCCCGTGGGGGCGGGGTGCGCTCTCTCACCTTCTCTCTCTCTCTTCTTTGAGTGCATGCGCCCTCTGACAAAATTTTTAAAAAGAAAGATAAAAAGGTGAACAAAACACCTATTTGCTACAGATACCCCGTCTCAGCACAGTTCTTTGTCTCTACTTCACAGCAGAAACTGGGTTATCTGATGAAGAGTTGCCACACACTAAGATACATCCAGGTTTAGGAATTGTTTGGAGCTGGTTGGAGAAGGAAAAGGGGTGAGAAATGTATTAAGGGAGACTGGGGAGTTGAGGGCAAGGGTGACCACAGAGTAACCTTATGTGCAGAGAGAGAGAGAGAAAGTGAGAAACCACCTCTCAGGTAGGATGGCCACGCTGCAATCCTTTCTTCTCCTCTCTCCTCTCAGGATTTTGGGCATGCAAACACGTGTGCCTAATGCATTTTTCAAACCACCAGGTCTGGGACTCGAACCACACAGTCAGCCATGTGGAATCCAGCCACCTTGACCACCACACCACCTCCTGGTTCTATTTCTGCTTTGCTATTTTTTCCCTGTGAGTGTGAACTGCCACTGTCTCTTCATTTTCCACTCTCCAATGAGACAGACATTTGGCATTCTCCCCCATCCAGATTTATGGCCATCACAAAGAACAGTTCCCCCCCAAGGAGCAGGGCCTTGGGATGTCCAAGAAGACGGGGTCCAGCTCCACCGTGGACAGCAAGGATGAGGATCACTATTCCAAATGTCAAGGTGAAGGGGCCTGAGGAATGAAGGAACCCAGAGTAGAAGGAGGTACCTGGTTGGGAAAGCAACTCGGAGGGCCTGCCGCGCGTCCTCCCTCCACTGCCCCCAAAGCCCCCCTCTGAGGACTGGGAACAGGCACCTCTCCTTGTCTCGTTCCTCATTCTGCCTCCCCTCACCCCAAGCAACAGGTTTTAGAAAAGAAGTAGGGGGAACCAGCAGTTAGCGTAATGGCTATGTCACTGGACTCCCACGTAGTCGACTGTGGTTCGTGTCCTGGACCCGGTGACTTAAAACTCACGCCGGGCGCGTGTGCGTGCGTGCCCAAGATCCCGAGAGGAGAATGGAGGAGAAGGGATTGCGGCGTGACCATCCCCCCTGGGGGGTGATTTCTCGCTTTCTGTCTCTATGTCTCTCTCTGTCTATCTGGCGAGCGCACGCGCCCTACAGTGAAAATCTCTCCAAAAAAAAAAAAAAAAAGAAAAGAAGTAGGTGCCTTCTGAAGGGACCGGGGCAGCAATGGGAGAGAGGTAAAGAAGGGTGCAGTGAATTAGACATGCAGACCTGGCCCTGGGGACATTACCTCCCAATCCCTCCTCTGTCACGCGCCTGAAGTAGTGACTGTTAGCTGCTTTTCTCCTTCTGTTCCTTCCTCTCCCTAGATTGTGTCTGCCGTCTGGGACGAGTGGTGAGGAGAAAGCTGGGGGAGGACTGGATCTTCCTGGTGCTCCTGGGACTGCTGATGGCCCTGGTCAGCTGGAGCATGGACTATGTCAGTGCCAAGAGCCTTCAGGGTAGGGCTGACCCGCGTCTTTTTTAAAAAACTCTTATTTGCTATGTATAGGTGTATGCCCTCACCAGAAAGCAGCACACAGGAGAAAGAAAGAGATAGAGAAAGTGAGAAATCACCCTGCCCCCCTCCAGGGATGAGATCCATGCTGCAATCCCTTCTCCCTTTGGGATTTTGGGCACACACACACACACACACACACACACACACACACACATGCCTGTCATGGTTTTCAAGCCACTGGGTTTGGGACTTGAACCACACAGTCGGCTCTATGGGATCCAGCTGCCCTAGCCCCCATGCCACTGGCTAGCCCCTGACCCAGGTCTTTGCCCTCAGCCCCTTCCCAGACCAGGCTGTTTCCAGATTTCTGCCGGGGCATTCTGTGTGTGCATGAGAGGGGCACCTTGCACAGAGAGGGCATTGAGGGGACTCGGACTCTGGACAAGACCAGACCTCGAGACCTGGAACAGATCCATTTCTCATGCTGCCTCCACAGCTGCCGTGCGAGCTGTGGGTACCCTCTAACAGGGTGACCAGTTTTCTCTAGTTTCAGCTCCGGAGCACCCTTGATTCTGGGCAACCCCATGGCCCTCACACTCTGGCCTACAGTCCAGAGGGGCTTACAGCACAGGCCGCCCCCTCCCCCGCCCCCACCGACCACTCGCAGCAAGCAGGACCCTGAGCAGCCCCTTCACTCCCTAACTTGGGTTTAAAATGACAGTAGCATGTCTCGGAGAGCAGACAGACAGCCCCTCGCCCCCACACTGCCTCACCCAGGTGTGTCCCTGCAGCCTACAAGTGGACCTACGCGCAGATGCGGCCCAGCCTCCCACTGCAGTTCCTGGCCTGGGTCACCTTCCCGCTTATTCTCATCCTCTTCAGCGCCCTCTTCTGCCAGCTCATCTCTCCCCAGGCTGTTGGTGAGAACCTTCTAGCAGACTCCGCATAGTCTGGGTAGCCTGAGGACCAGCCCTCTGTCTTCCTCGCCACCTCCAGCCCAGCTGACAGTCCCTGCTAGCTTCATCACTGTTCTCCTACCACACCCACACCCCCATTTCCACTTTCGGGATGTTCAATCTCCCTCTTACCCTCCAGTTTGAATTTGCGTGTAACCTTTTAACCCCTGTAGGCTCTGGGATCCCAGAAATGAAGACGATACTCCGCGGGGTTGTCCTGAAGGAGTATCTCACGCTCAAGGCCTTTGTGGCCAAGGTTGTCGCCCTCACTGCTGGGCTGGGCAGTGGAATTCCTGTGGGAAAAGAGGTAGGTCTTCTTATCAGGTGTGAGCTGGGAGAGGGCTGAAACTGGAGGGTCCTCTGAGTGTAGATATGGACCCGGGGAACAGGACCAGTGCCAGGACCAACTGGCATTAGGGAGGATAAATACTTTGAGAGGTCTTCATCCTGCAGTTAAGAGGCCTTCATCTTGGGGTCGAGTGACAAAGATGTCAGAGCTGTGGGGCCTGGGTCAGAGTGTCAGTCAGGCCCTGTGGACTATGCTGGGGTGAGAAGGCCCCCGTGGTGGGGAATGGCTGTACATTGTGGGATGTTTGGTTTGTGTCAGAATGCCTCCAGACATGGCCAAGTGTCCCCAGGGGGTGGAGGTGGGGGCAAAATCACTCCCTGTTGAGACTCACTCCGTTAGCAATGACCCAGACCAATCCTGTTTCAACACAAGAACATTGAGACCCAGAAGAGGTGGTGTGTTGGGTTTCTTCTAGAATTATTTATTTAATTTTATTTATCATTATTATAATGATTATTTTCCAGTTTTCTACAGGGTAGGTGCACTCAACAGAGAGAGACGGAGAGAGAAAGTGAGAAAGCAAGCTGTCAGGTCTGAGACTCGAACCGCAAGTCCAGAGCCTTAACCAACACCCCACTGGCCAGCCCCAGGGTAGTGTGTTTTTAAGGTTACAGTCAGGTCTCCTCAGTTCTAGATTCCAGGGCATTCTCGCCCCCTACCGGTGACACTCAATACCGCAGCAGGAGTCTTGAATACTTTTTTCCTTCAGATTTTTTTTGGCATAAGGTGTTGGCTCACTGGGAGATAGAGAAAAAGGGAAGGTGATAAATGACCCCCTGAAGAGGATGGCCACACTGCATCCGGCCCCCCCTTCCTTCATGGCCTTCAGCATTACCTGGAATGGCAACAGATGGGTTCGATGTCTCCCTTCCTCTCTGGAGCTCCACGGGGCAGACTTTCTGTCCGCCTTCTGTATTTCCAATACCTAGCCCAGTGCCTGGCATGGGGCAGGTTGGTCCAGCGAGGGCCACGGAGCCTCCATCCAGGCCAGGGCTCTCCCTCAGCGCTCCCCTCTCTTCTAGGGCCCTTTCGTGCACATCGCCAGCATCTGTGCTGCCGTCCTCAGCAAGTTCATGTCCATGTTCTGTGGAGTGTACGAGGTAAGGCTGAGGCGGTAAAACGAGGTAGGGCTGGCTGGCAGAAGCAAACCGTCTGTGTGTGCCCAGCGTGTTGAAGGGCTGCTCTGCTCCGGGCTGGCCTGGTGCTGAAGTGGGCATCGCACTAACCCGTGCTCCCTCAGCCTCCACCCTCCTGCCCGCCTACCCTAGTCACACGGTGCCTGTTAGCCTCTGCCTGGTCCCCGATGCCCATTCCTTCTTTTTTGGGGGGGCAGAGATTTTCATTATAGGGCACGTGCACTCGCCAGACAGACAGAGAGAGACAGAGACAGAAAGTGAGAAATCACCCCCCAGGGGGCATGGCCACGCTGCAATCCCTTCTCCTCCATTCTCCTCTCGAGATCTTGGGCATGCACGCACACGCGCTCAGCGTGAGTTTAAGCCACCGGGTCCGGGACGCGAACCACGGTCGACTACGTGGGAGTCCAGCGACATAGCCATTACGCTAACTGCTGGTTCCCCCCATTCCTTCTTGATCTGTGCCCCACGTGGTAGCCTGTCCTCAGTCTGCTCCCACGCTGGTCCATTTAATCCGCCCTGCCCTCCTGTGCAGCCTTGTCCCTTGGAAGTTCCCAGCCTCTCTCAGTGCTGCCCAGCTGCCCTGCGCCACCCTCCCCATCCCGCCTGCTTCTCTGTTGCAGACCGTGCCTGGGCAGCTTGATCTTCTGGTGTCAGCCTGTGCGGTGGGCGTGGGATGCTGCTTTGCAGCCCCTGTTGGAGGCAAGTCGTACTTCCTCCCTACCCTGGTGGCCTGAGCTAGACTTGGAAAGGGTGCTGGGTGGCTGCCAAAGCTTTGGGGCGGACAAGGCAGTGCTCACCGATGGGACTGGTGGGCGGCATCCAGGGAGTGACCATCCAGGAAGCCGGACTTTTGCACCTAAAGGCTGTGGATTCTTCTGGGATTGGTGGTTGTTTTGTGCAGACTTATTGGAACTGTTGGGTCTAGAGTCCTTTCCTGATGCTTGATTACGTCACTTCTCACTGTGAATGCCCCACCTCCAGCCTCTCTCCGGAGAGCATTTGCTGACTTACTGCCTGTCACAGATTGTCTGTTATTTCATTTTCTGTTCTGGCCTTGTGCTATGAGGTCACTTCCTGCTGCCAAACTCACTGAGTGTCTTTTGGCCTGGGATTCACAGGGGGTGACAGGGCCATGATGACTCCTATGACTTTCATTCCGCCTTTCCTCTATCTGTCCCCTTCCTCCATCTGTCTGTCTGTCTGTCTCTCCCCTAGTAGCAGCCATACTATTACACGGACATCCTGACGGTGGGCTGTGCTGTGGGAGTCGGCTGTTGTTTTGGGACACCGCTTGGAGGCAAGTGACTCCCTCTCCCTCACTGATGCGCTTGCCTGGCCTGGCTCCCTGAACTGTTGTCACTTCCCCAAATGCCAGCTGGTACTACAGTTTATTTGTTATGATCCATGTCAAATGGCCAATTTTTAGTGAGCATTTACTATGTGCCAGTCAACACTCTCAGCACTTAGCATTTATTCCTTCCCAAAGCAGTGTAAGGCAGGTATTATAGAGGAGAGAGAAAGAAGGTAACTGAATTATAGCTGCGGCAGGGGACATGAGCAAGGTCATTCTGCTAGAAAGTTGCAGAGCTAGGAATAAAAACCAAGGCGATCTCCCTATTTATATTAAAATCTGTCTGTATTATTGAATATTTTTGCCCTGTACTTATCATCTGGGAATAGAGGGCTTTATGTACATACTTCTCAAAGCGAAAATTTACATTTTGTTTTGTTTTATTAAGAATATGGGAGTTTAGATGGACCTTATTTGGAATAATGATGGGGGGGCTTTATTTTTTTTTTATGTTTTTTTTTTTAAGAGGTTTTTGCTATAAGGCATGTGTACTACCAAAAAGAGACGGAGAGACAGAGAGAAATCACCCCCCAGGGGGATGCCTATGCCGCAATTCCTTCTTCATTCTCCTTTTGGAATCTTGGGCACACATGCACATGTGCCCAGTGTGAGTTTAAGCCACCAGGTCCGAGACTCAAACCTCTGTCGACTACATGGGAGTCCAGCGACGTAGCCATTATGCCAACTGCTCGTCCCTGCAGAGGTTTTTGCTATAAGGCATGTGTACTACCAAAAAGAGACGGAGAGACAGAGAGAAATCATCCCCCAGGGGGATGCCTATGCCGCAATTCCTTCTTCATTCTCCTTTTGGAATCGTGGGCGTGCATGCGCATACACCCAGTGTAAGTTTAAGCCACCGGGTTCAGGAATCAAACCACAGTCAACTATATTGAAGTCCAGCAATGTAACCAATTATGCCATTTGCTGGTCCCAATGGCAGGCTTTAAATTAGGGGAATTTTATTTTACTTTTTTAAAAAATGTATTTATATTTAATCACATGTCTTTACAGTATACATTTCTCTTTCCAACACAAATGCCATGCATGTCAGTCAAGACAAAGATATTGGTATATACATTGTCATCAGCAAATAGCTTCTCATTTTTTGTCAAGTAAGCATACTTTTACCACTTTTTTCCTTCCCCTTCCCCCTCCCTCTCTTCTATACTAAACTTTTTTTTTTCTTTCACATTTTATTGAGTCACAAAAGATCTTCAACTAAAAGTATGGACAAAGCTAGAATTTAGTGACAAGTGCACTGTAATTTTCTCCTGAAACATTTTTGTTCTCTTTCCATTCCCCTTTACTAAAGAGAGGTATAAACTAACTTATTTTCAAAGAAAAAATTAAGTTAATCTCAATTTGGTCTGTTATTTGTACAAAGCCCCAGAAGAATTCAATGTCTGATACAAGGCAACAGATGCTATTATATTATTGAGCTTATGCAAACAATCATTCTGCCACAAAATAAGAATGCTCACAAATATTTCCCAATTGCAAAGGAATCAGGAAAGGAGAAAAGTTTATGTTTCAATTCAAAAAATTCTGTTTTTAACAAATTGCTGAACCTATCAACAACTCAAAAGAAAACACAAATCTTTAAATCTGGAAGACCACGCATAGAAGAAAGTCAGTAATGTTTTAGAAAAAACTCATAGAATTCTATTTCACCAGTTCAGTCTCACGTAATCTCTCTTTTGTTGAATTTGCAGTGTTGCTGTGGTCTGACCTTTCCGTTAACATTCAACATTATTGTTGATATTTCAGAACTTGTCCCTACCATTAAGTTGGTCTTTCTCTTGGTCATTTTTTGTTCTTTTATTTGTCTGTCTGTATTTAGTTTTCTTGGTATAGCACTCCCTTCAGAACTTCTCACAGAGCTGGTCTGGTGTTGGTAAATTCTTTCAGGTTTTGTTTATCTGAGGTTTTTATCTTTTCTTCCCATATGAAGAATAATCTTGCCAGAGATAGTATTTTTAGTTGGAATTGTTTTTCACTTCATACTTTAAATATATTTTTCCATTCTTTCCTTGCTTGCATTGTTTCTGACAAGAGGTCTAATATTAGCCTGATGGGATATCCTTTGAAAGTAACTTGATGTTTTTCTCTTGCCAATTTTAGTATCTTGTCTCTGTGGTTTTGGCCAATCTGGCTATGATGTGCCTTGGAGAAGATCTTCTTGGGTTGATTCTATGTGAGGTCCTTTGTATTTCTTAAGTCTGGATATCTGAAAGCCTCTCCAGGTTTGGAAAGTTTTCTTCCAGGATTTCATGGAATAGATTATCAGTGTCCTGATTAGTTTCTTCACCTTTTGGGATACTGATTATCTGGGTGTTTGGGCATCTAATGGTCTCTAGTATTAATCATATATTATTTTCATTTGTTGGGATTATTTTGATAGATTTTTTTAGGTCAGAGGATCTGTCTTGTACATCTGAGATTCAGTCTTCTGCATGATCTAATCTGCTTTTAATACTTTCAAGGGAGATTTTGATTTCCTGTATTACAGCCTTCATCTCTAACAGTTATGTTTGATTCTTTATAGTGTGTATTTCCTCTTTCAAATTGTGGAAGAACTTCCTCACCTCCTGGAACTCATTGTCTCTTTTCTTCTGCATTTTCTGGAGTTCATTGTCTCTCTTCTATTGCATCTCTGTTAGCTTGGTCACTATGACTATCCTAAAGTCTTTATCTGGCATTTCCACATGTTCCATTGTACTCTCTGTGAATGATGAGGGGCTGTTCTTTCCTCTTGGGGATAGGATGTTTTCTTCATTTCCCATATTTCTTGTGCCTTTGAGGTGGTTTCTGGTCATCTGATAGATTGTATGTTACTTCCTACCTTTCTGAAGTTAATTCTGAGTGTTAAAGGGGTGCAGAAGAAGATGACCTGCAATATTTCTGCAGTTCCATTTCCCTGATCCTCACCAAGCATCCTGCTCTTTTGTCAGTGGAAATGGATATTACGAAGGCCTCACAGTTGCAAGGGAATAGGTGCATCTGGGCTGAGCTGCGGGGTTTCAACTAAGAATTCAGAGGTATGTGGGAGGAGATGAGCTGCACTCACTGCAGCTCCTCATTTCTCCCTGCTGCTCACTTTGCAGTCTTTCTTCTCTGATTTTTAGTCATCTGGTGGTATGTTCACGTTTGAATACTTTGTTAGAGATTTCTGCTACTGTAAGCTTATATGCTTCACTTTACTGTGAGATACTTCTTTGCTTATTTCTCTTCTACTGTGTTTTGCAATGTGGTATCTGCAGAAAGGAATTTCAATTTAGATTCATAAAGATGAGTTTCTCCCTTTCTGTACCAGTTCAATGGGGGTTGAGGTTTACTATGACCCTAAAAGTACTCAGATGTTTTGCTACTGTGCACCTAGACCTGCCTAGACATTCAGTGTGTGGATGGTGAGCAGCAAGGTGGGAAAGTCAGGTAAACAAAAGGAAACAAAGGGAAAAAGACAACAACAACAAAAAGACAAAAGAAAACAATGAAAAGGGAAAAAAAAAATTAAGAATTAAGGCAAAAATGCCTGGGATCACAGGCATTCATGTGCACTCTTAGCTTGCTCAAGGACCCACACTCAGAACTTTCCCACATGGTTCAACTTCACTGAGTGTCACATTATCACTGTGTTGCAATCTGGCTGAGTTTAGAGCTTTGTACACATTAAAGGCAAACAATGATCCTTCAGATTATTTTCCTTATCACATTTGGATGACTAATACATGGACACAGTCAGAGAAAGCTGTAGTATCAGTGAAATCAGTTGTAGTCAGATTAACAGAGGCAGGGAAATCATACTCATTACTGATTAGATTTAGGGGTGATTTTTAAGAAGATACTAAGCCAACTGAAGAAACAAAGTTGCAGGAAGAGCATATGCTTTTTCTTTTTTCTTTCTTTTTTTTTTTTCCAGAGGTTTTTGACTTAGGCTATGTGTGCTTGCCAGAGAGAGACAGACAGACACAATGAGAAGGAGAGTGAGAAATCTCCTCCCCACCCAGGGGGATGGCCATGCAACAATTCCTTCTTCATCCTTCTCCCAGGATCTTGGGCATGCACGCACATATGCCTGGCATGAGTTTTAAGCCAGCAGATCTGGGACTGGAACTGCAGTCAGCCATGTGGGCATCCAGAGATGTAACTGCTAAACCTTCTGCTGGCTCCAAGCATATGCTTCTTAAATGACCCGTTGCTAGAAGTTTCTCTTCAATTATGGAAATGTAATCACTCTTCATAGAGGAGGCTTCCAGATAACTAAAATAACTTAGTTCAGGAATGACATATGGATAAGAGTTTAAAGTTAATGAAATGTGTCATACTAACTTGAGCTAACCTTGTGCCAAAAGTGCGCAGCAAAAGGAGACCAAGTTAGCAAATGCACTAGCTAGCATCCTGTTGGCACTTCTGTTGTCAGCTCTAGTCATTAAAGTCATTAGGCCCCGCCAGTGAAGGATAGTGTGTTTGAATTTCTACACACATTAAACATTCACAGTTACATTTATACCCGCCTTCACCTTTATTTACTTCTTAGCCTTCTAAATCCAGAAGGTCTAAAGAATATTTTTAGACAGGAAGAATTCTTTTTTGTTGTTGTCATTGTTGTTTTGTTTTTTTATCAGCCGATTTTTTTTTTTTTTAATGAAGAAAATAAACTAGAATTTCTGAGGTGAATGAGCAAGGGTGTTTTTTGGTCCTGTGTGAAATATAAGAAAGGTAAAGATAAAATATTTCTCTTGGGGCTAGAAAGTGGTATAGCAATAACACACAACAGTCCATGAGGCTGACTCACAAGGGAAGATTTTGGGTTCTGGAACCAGAGACTTCTCTTACAAAAGTAGACTGGAGCTGGGTAGAGGTAGATTATGATGTTAAGACCCTGTCTTTCTCACTCTAAGAAGAAATAAATAAAATTAAAACCATTGTTCTTGACACACAAATTG